GTCCTTACGTGAGTGTCAACATCTCCACTGTCGAATGTCACGCAGCTGACCAATAGTACAGCGCTAATCCAGCAGCCATGACTGACGGAGGACCAGCAACCCTCGTCTATGGGTTTATCTTCTGCTGGATAGGAGCTTTGTTAACAGCAGCGTCTCTGGCCGAAATGGCCTCGATGTACCAGCCCCTTTAGACGGTCTTTGAAAAGAACAACACTAAGACATTTGTCACACAGGGCTCCCACGTCGGCAGGTCAATATCATTGGGTATCAATCCTCGCCCCTAAAGGCCAGGCTGTCTTCCTCAGCTGGGTAACTGGATGGTTGGACATGATCGGATGGTGGGCCAACACTGCGTCGGGTGTGTATTTCGCTGCCACCGTCCTGCAGGGCCTTCTGGTGTTGAACTATGACGGATACGACTTTCAACGTTGGCATGGAACCCTGCTCATGTTCGCGGCGCTGGTGATTTGCCTTTTGGTCAACTCCTTCGGGGCAAGGCTCCTACCTAAGATCGAAGGTCTAATCCTCATTCTCCATACCGCCGGCTTCCTAGCTATCCTGATCCCCTTGGTTTATCTGGCTCCGCACAAGAACGCTGAATTCGTCTTTGCAAATTTTACCAATACCTCTGGATGGAAGAACTCTGGCCTTACCTGGCTGATTGGGCTGATGGGGACGAATCTTCCATTTATTGGTACGCTCACACTCCTCGCGCGGACTCAATCGGTCTAACTGACTTGTTAACCCAGGATATGATGGCCCTTGTCACATGTGTATGTCCTCGACCACACCCCAACCACAACTCCACGATATCTAACAGATCTGCAGCGGAGGAGGTAGTGAACGCCTCGGTTATAGTCCCCTGGTGCATGATCGCGACCATCATGCTAAACGGTGTCCTCGGTTTCGCCATGGTCCTAGCCTTCCTCTTCTGCGTTGGCGACCTTGACGCCGCCCTCGACAGCGCAACAGGATACGACTTCATCGAAGTATTCTTCAACGCCACAAAATCCCACGCTGGAACATCTGTAATGAGCGCCATCGTGATTGCGCTGACTATCTGTGCCTCGTTCGGGTTCCTGGCCTCCTCATCACGTCTTACTTGGGCACTAGCGAAGGACAAGGGAATTCCGTTCGCTGATTTCCTATCTCATGTACGGAACAACCTCCAGATTTTCCACAAGCACCCATCAATACTAAACTAATTCAAACAGATAAACACTAGGACATCCGGCTCCGCCCTCCCTCTCCGCGCCATCGCCCTCTGCGCCATAATCACAGCCATCACCTGCCTCATCAACATCGGCTCCAGTGCGGCCTTCAACGCCATGATCTCCCTGACCACAGCGGGACTCTTCTCTTCATACGAGATCGCGATCGTACTAATTCTCATCAAGAAGCTCAAGAACGAGCCTCTACAGTACGGCCCATGGAAGATGGGCAGGCTCTGGGGAATCCTGATCAATATCGGTTCGATCTGTTTCTTGACCATCACTATCTTCTTCTCATTCTTCCCCGAGGAGTTGCCGGTCACGCCAACAAATATGAACTGGTCGATTGTGGTATTTATGGGAGAGTTTCTCCTGGGTTTGGGGTGGTATTTGGTTAGGGGTAGGAAGATTTATCACGGGCCGGTTATGGACATGCCGGTTGCTGTTGGTGAAAGTGCAGTGGTGGGTGGGGATGGTGTGGATGAGGAGTAACCGTACCTGTATAGATCCGTTAGGGAGTGGAATGGTATCGAGGGGATGTATATAGAATTAATGTGTGAGTGTATAGTGTTTTCATCATGGTCTGTACGGCGGTCTACGTGTAGCAGTAGCGCTAGGAGCTAAGGACAAAGGTATTCTTCGTCTCCCGCGTAATAGATACTTCTAAAGACCTACTGAAAGTACTGGGAGTATGTACCCTGGGAGACTATATTAATGTATTATGTTGTAGCCAAACGCACAAGCGCTCTCTCTATTATATCCATTTTGGTATCGACTCCTCCGCAACGGTTACTTCAACCAACTTACTTATCCCATTGCGACCGTACCGTCCTAACTCAACATCACCCAGAATGTGCCGCCTGTCCTCGACATCATCACCCACGGCTACACGGTAGCTGCGCGAACTGTGATAATCGCCCCAGGTGTTCTGCCTGGTCCTCCTACTATCTGCCTCCCGCTGCGACCGTGATCGACTGCTGTTGACTAGCAGACGTACAGAATCCCGCACCAGGGTCCGAATACAGGGAATAGATGCCGTCGTGATGACCAAGTAGCATTCTAGCAAGGCCCAGATAGTCAACCGGTTCGTTGCGGCCGATTGATCGTCGATGATGGAGAGAGAGGGGAGATTAATGATCCGCATGATCGATCCTACCATGGCGCTGTGAAGTCGGTTAGAGTTGTGTTGGGTTGGACAATCAATATAGTACATACATGAGCCCCAGGCTCATCAGGATGATGAGGATTGTCTTAGTCCGTCGTTTGAGGTTTAGGCTCCACAAGGTGTATGCGGGGAATATTGCGAGGTAAAGGTCGGTGGCTGTATTAATAGCTGTGAATTGCATCATTAGTGCGATTTATTACAAAAACATTGGCACGGACCCTTACTGCACTGCACGTAGCTATATATGATCAGAATCTTTGGATTCCAGCATTTGCTCTTCACACTAAAATCCCAGATAGCGCGAATATCAGAGCACCGGGCCAAAATAGTTACTGGACTGACGTAATTGGCGATGAGTTGGAGGGCGAATATGAGCCACAGTAAATGTCCAGTGAGGTATTTGTGTCGGAAAATGGGCATTAAATATAACACGAAAGCGACCCTTCCTGTGCCCGTGCTGACGATAGTAACGCATTGAAACACCGTGTAGAGCTTTGTAGTCAATATACGGTCCGATCGATCGAGTTCGTAACCATGTCGTCCATATCCGTGAGAGATTGCTATCGTGATAAGTATGGAAGACGCAATAGCCAAAGCCTGCCATTGTAAGCGGAGCTGTATGATCGTTGCAAGCGGTTACATACATAAGCGAAGACCATGGTTGCATCGTCCCAAGAAAGGTTGCGAACACGATGCTTCGCAATGAGCCTCAACAGCATGATGAGGGTTGCCACACCCGTTGCTGCCCAAGTGAGGCCCAGAATGCCAGGGCCAGCATTGTAGGATGCAGACTCCATGCGTAATAGCCTAGCATGTAGGCTTGCTGGCACACCCGGTGCAAGCTGGCATGATGCGAGAGGAAAAGGCAGCGCGTGAGACGGGGACGGTGTTGCTTTTTATTCCGAGGGTGCCGACGATGGTTTCAGGATTCGTGGATCTACCGTTCGGAGCTCCTCCATGCGAAAGCTAAACGACACCGAGTAAGTGCCTCATATGTGATCGGCGGGTTCGAGTATTTTTAGCCAGGGGCAGGTTGACACACAGGTCCGCTGATGCTCTGCATGGATCATCGTTTCCGTTGAAAGATCGTTGGTACAAGGGTGGCGGCCGTTTGGGTCTCCCTTTTTGCATCCATTGCCTGGTCGAGCGTGAAGGCCAAAAAGCGGGATGAACCAGTGGGACGGCGTTGCTCCGACTGTAGTTTCATGTCTGTTTGGGATCTTTTAAAGTTCAACTTTAGCTTCAAGTCGCGTTAAAAATTTAGCCGCCAGGAGGTCGACTCCAGGGTCCGACACCGGATTTTGCCCATAACCATGGAACCGTGCCAGTCAGGGACCATAGTGCCGGACCAAGATCCATTCTAGTCCACATAGTACAAAAATAGCGTTTACGTTGTGGAAGGGGTTTATTCTGAGAGAGCGGAATCGGCACCATGGTTTCGGTTGATCCTCAAAATAAACTCCGGGCAAATCCCGCCCGTGCAAAGTTTAGGTTGATCAGCACCCAGTATGCAAGTTCCTCGCAGTGGTCCGTGGCTGGCTCATTTTCAATCCATTGTGTTTCTTTAAACAGCCAGCAGAGATAGTGATTATCAAAGGAGTAGTGGTGACCGATAACGCACCCATTTTTGTGGTCGAGGGACGGAAATAACCCATGCGGAAAGCGGTTGGCCGGTACTACTTAGGGTGGATGGAATGTGGCATAACAGTCACGCCAATCATTGCCCCAATTACGGCGCCTATTCGGGGTTCTTATCATCCTTGGGAACTCTAAGACCTATTTGGCATATCTACCTTACATTACGCCACACTATATTATGTTGAGATTGGCGATGAAATCCCCCGATCGAAGGTTCAGGCATGCACAGGCATGCACAGGCATACGTGAAAATTATCACCTTATTGGCGTTCTGCAGCACCCGGCAATATCTTCCGCAAAATACTGACGGCCAGTGGTACTAGTTCGCTGAGTGCACTTGTATCTTAGTGATTTGGTAATAAGGCGTTTAAAATTGCCAGTAAGAAACGAACAATCCCTCATACAACGGTGGCCAGGATCAGCAATAGCTTTAATTTTGATATCTTTGACTGCTACAAAAGCTCTTAACTTTTGGTAGAAGTAACAATATCCCATGCAGCCCTGCAGCTCTGCGACCAGCTACTAATTGAGAAGACCCAATTTCCAGCATTGTTTCGGCATAACTGGTCACAAAGGGTAATCATTGGCATAACTTCCACCCCCTGCATAATTGCATCACCAAACAGAGATAAACGCCCCTGAAAGGGCAGCTTTGGCGAGACACGTGGATTTCCCTATTGGCTACTATCATGTCTATATCACTATATTCCTTCGGACCATATGGCCAATTGCTGCGGTATGTTGAGGTCTGAATATTTTGGCTGCTTTTAGTCTTCGCTCTCGTATTCAACATTCCGTACATTGACAGCGCCCAGGAACTTTAAGAAAGGAGATATCCGGTAGCCATGTCCCGTATTGGAAAGTAACTAGATGGTATCGACATCAAACGGCGCTGCTTGTGCTGGTGACCAAAAGTTTCAATACACTTTCGTCAATACACTTTCGACGTGCGCTAGGAAGCCTCGAAAGAGGCTTTACATTGCAAAATGCATTTCGAGCGCGTAGTTGTCCTCACGCTCTTCAGCTATGTTACCGCCCTCCCCAGTCACATCAATCTAGGCGTCGCCTTGCGAGCTTGTGATGCTGAGGCCTGCGATATGGAAGTAAGAATATCTTCCTGGGCAAAGAATTGGGTGAGATGCCTAGCTAGCAGCTCATAGTGTAGAATGGCAGGCAGTAGTGGAGGCAATTGTGGAGGCAATCCAGCTCTAAATCTTCTTGGGCTTCCTTTACTTAGCACAAACACGCCGTAAGTGTCCTGAGCTGTGCCATTTGTGTGTTTTACATATCTGATCTAAGAACGACAGCAATTGCACTTGTTCCTGGAGCTATTCTTCAAGTGCAGTCCCAGTCACAGTTATAGCAACGGAGACCGTCACCGACGTAGAACCGTCCACGACTACGGAGACTACCACCGACACGGAATCTGCCACAGCTATGGAGACTACTACTGACACAGAGTCTTTTACGGCGACACAAACTACAACTGACGTACAGTCTACCACAGCTATAGAGACGGTCACGGACACGCAGTCGTTGACAGCCACTAAAAGTGTTGCCGGAACGCAGCCTACAACAGCTACGCAAACAGTCACCGACACACACTCTTATACAGTGACGCAGACTGCTACTGACACAAAATATAAAACACAAACCATCGACAACACCATCACAGCCACTGCATCATCTACAGCCACCCAGACTACCACTGATACAGGGTCCATAACAACTACCCAAAACATCACAGATACGCAAACTATGCACCACACAGAGTCCGTCACGGCTACAGAGACCATAACCGATACGGCATCTGTCACAGCCAAACCCACACCAACCACTGTAACGGACACGCAAATATCCACAACGACTGCCACCCAAACCGCTACCCCTACTCCAGAAGTTGGGGCCTGCTTCTGCTGCACTGAGCAGGTCCGACTGCCGTATGAACTGAATGGCAATTGCGACAATATCCCAGTCTTGAATTCGACCGACGGTTGCCCATCCGGCGACGATCCGAAGCGGAACCACTTGCTTTGTTGCGACTCGAGTGGATATTGTACCCAGATGTCCTAGACATTGATTTCTTTTCTGTCCCAACTTATATTTGATTCTCCCGATGAGAATGTAACGTTTCCATTGGCATTCATTTAATGTATAACGTCCAAGAATAATAAAAATACTGCTGGATTTATATGCAACTATAGATACACACGTGCCGCAACAGGCGGTCGAAAATATGAGCCCTCTTTCTGTTAACATTCCATCTCTTATGCTAGTGTCGCACAGCGGTGATGACTCGAATTAAATAAGTTGAAAGCTTGTAGCAGTCGTCGCAAGACCATTGCTGAACTGGATCCTGGCAGTATCAAATGCAGACAGTAAGGTGTTTGGAGTACAAGCTCCCCGCAATTTACGTCCGCTTATTTTTGCACCCTATCCAACTGTTAGCGTGCTAGCACACTCAACGTCCCGAAAAATTCTTTCCTCAACAAGTCCAAGGCGTTGGAGATGACTACAGTGCAAAATAACTCAGATATGTGATGTGAGGTCGAGACGTAGTGAATCATGTTCGAGGTCGTGCGTTACTACAGAAGCAACAACTCCGCTTTACCGAGGCTGCAAAGAAGGTCAGGGGGGATGCTAAGCGGCATCTGTGCTGTAACCATGATGAGCGTGATCTTCCGGGAAATTTTCGAAAAAGGTTGGGTGGGTGCAGCAAGCTAAACTCAAGATATCCGCTTTATACAGCTTGGAGCCGCAAAAGGGCGCAAGAATACATACATCTGCGCCGGGTTAGCAATCTGGTCTATATAACATAGCAGATTAGGGAAGTGGAGAACCGTGGTTACTATATCAGCCGCACCAATGGCGGGGAAGGGGATCATGGGCCGGAGGCCTGAACCCTTCATGACTGTGTGTCAGACGCAGGTCTGGCGTGGGCCGTGCATCGCTAAATAATTTCCCCAAGTGGTATGGCGTGATCAATATCTGACGGTATTTCCTGCGCCCATTCCATTATATGAGAACCTATCGATGGACTCCCCAACGCTATTTCGACAAGAGCTATTCAGGTCATATCGCCTTAGCGCTGACTTCAGTACCCTAACAAACACCGCAGAAGCGAAGGCCAAGGACGATACTAGCCACTAGGCGCATTGATCTCGTTCACACGAACCATTGTGTCTGTCCATCAGTCATCTTTATTGGTCTCCCTCCAGCGCAACGTGGGATGCGGCTACGAAGAGCCGGATAGTAGACCGCGTCATAACACCAGGCGGAGATTGTGAGCATAGTATAAAGCCAGCCATAATCCACCTCGCTTTACCAGGTTCCCTCCCACAAGTTGCGCAGCCAGATTCCCATCCGTTAGCACATATTTCAAGCTTGCCGCATTACTCTTTCCCAATCATCCATAATGGCTCAGACCATCGCCGATGTAACTGCGACTGTCAAAGCCGCACTATCCAAGCTTTCGCCTACCGACGATATCCCAGACTCAGCACGGTTTGAACTTCTCGATGTGTTGGACCAACTGCGTGCCGCCGTGGAGCCCCCTATCCAGACAGTGCTGAACATCTGCTGGGCGGTAAGGATCCTACTACTGTATTGTTCTGGGGGAAAAAAAAAAAAATAAATAAATAAATAAAAATAAAAATGAAAAGGTCAAATTGAACTTAGCTAACCCGATGCCACCGGGATCTGGTCGCAGCATCATCCCCTAGTCGCAATCCGCACTGCTATTGGAATGGGAGTCTTTGATGCGTTCGCCGCTACCGGCGGTGTTGAACTGTCTCTTGACCAGTTGAATGAAAAGACCAAAGGCGACAAGGACCTACTGGGTAAGATTATTCCTTCCAAGCAGCACAATTCTCCTGGTCCTTCTGAATATTCTATTAAGATGATGGCATTCACGTTACAGTCAGAATCATGCGCCTCCTCATTGCTAATCGCCTATTCACCGAAACTGGTGTCGAAAAGTATAAGCCCCAGCCTTTGGCTTTGGCGTTCGCCACAGGCGCTCCGCCTAGCGAGGTTATCAAGAACTTGTACGTGATTCAGTCTAGATTAGAGGATGGGGGGAGAAAGATCGTTTGACTAACATCCAAACCTTACGTTCAGCCACGTCAACTTCCGTGCCTCTGCATTTACACATGACTTTCTCGAAGCCCGAGGATATCGCACCCCAGATGACGCCTACGACACTCCTTTCCAGCTAGCTTACGGGACCACCCTGCACCACTTCGAGTGGCTCGCACAGGACCCGGCCGAGCAGCATGCTTTCAACAAAGTGATGGAGACCAGCAATCGCGCAGTGGAGGGCGCCCAGTGGTATGACTTCTACCCGTGGCAGGAACGGCTGTCACTGGCCACCGGTGATAATGTGGAGGAAGATCGCGTACTCCTGGTCGACATTGGTGGCGGCAAGGGCCACGATTTGCAAGCATTCAAGAAGAAGAGAGGCCCCACTGGCCGCCTAGTGCTTCAGGACCTCCCTGGGGTTATTCAGGACATCAAGGAGCCTCTTCCACACGGTGTTGAAGCTGTTAGCTACAGCATGTTCGATGCGCAGCCTGTGCGTGGCGCCAAGGCTTACTATATGCGGACGGTGCTGCATGACTGGCCGGATAAGCAGGCATTACTGGCGCTGCAACGTGTTTGGGAGGCAATGGCTGACGATTCCGTGCTGCTGATCAATGAGAATACTGTTCCCGAAACAAGGGTACCGCGGTTCAATACCAGCGTCGATCTCATAATGATGAATATGTTTTCTTCACTGGAGCGCACGGATAAACAGTGGCTGAGTCTTTTGGAGCGTGCCGGATTCAAAGTCGTTAAAGTGTGGCGCTCGGACGATCAGGGAACGGGGTCCAATGCTTTGTTTGAGGCTGTTCGTGTTTAGCTAGTGTCATTTTCGGTCGATCGATAAAACGACGTCAGGAAATATTCGAGGTGAAGGAAATCCATACAAGTCTTTTTTTTTTTTTTTTTCTCTTTTTCATCTCTTTCACTAGCCCTATGATGACAATCCTTCTGCCGTTGGGCACCACGTAGAGGTCACCATCGAGCGATGGTACAATGTCGATACTAGAGACTCTTCACCAATAGTATTGTTGCTTGAATGGTATGGGAATTCCAATTGTTACATGCCAAGTTGGTTCCGAATACCTTGGTCGCTTTGGCAAAGCTGGTGTTTGTTCTCGGACGGTCGACGTGAAGTAATGTGGCCGGCTATGAGTTTCTGTCGCTTGTTGGGCTCCCGGCCTACAGCTTGGTGTCTATCTGGCTATTGCAAGTTGCTCATGCAGGCCAACCCTTACATGTCCACTCGTATCACGCGAAGTTTATAGGAATTTATACTTGAAGGCTCGATATACAATCCACAGCAGTCCCAACAAGGCACGCAGAGGAAACAATCTTTCGATGCGAAGTAAGTGTCTACACCGGTCAGTGTGTGCCATGAAAAATATCCAACGCATCTTGCAGGTGCTGCTCCACATCCAGTTCCCAGATCCAGCGCATGCGCATGTCCAAATTCTCGCGAATCTTGTCAACATCGTCCCACACGCCTTCCTTTTGGCACTCATAGAGCATGCCAGCATCCCGACTAGTGCGCACCAAGTGCTGAGTCCGAGGCCTTCGCACGGTATCATACGCCATGAACGCCCGTTCCAAATGTTTCTTCTCACGGACTTCTCCTAGGAGACGAGATAAAACAAACACATCTTCCACTGCCATACCGGCCCCAGCGCCCTGGTGCGGCGTACTCGCATGGGCTGCATCCCCCACGAGACAGATGCGACCATCCCGGTGATAGGTACTGGCGGGCGCATGATCGAACATGGCCCATATATCTGCATTTCGCATCAATGACAAGATGGCTCGGACATCTGGTCCCCAGCCCTCAAAGTCCTGCAACATCTGCTTTTTGTTTCCTGGTAGCACCCACTGTGACCCATGCTCCCAGACCCCATTTTCCTTTGTCCGGAAGGCCACGACATTCATTGTCTTGCCGTGCTCAATCGGAAATGTTAAGAGATGGCCGCCGTAACCCCAATGGAAATGGTTGTTGCGTGCCGTGTACTCTCCTAGGGCCGCAACTGCTTCATCCATCGGGATCAGGCCTCGATAAGCATATTTGCCCGTGAAGACAGCATTAGCTGCTTCATCTCCTTCAAGCAGAATTTGCCGCACTCGGGACTTGATTCCATCACACCCGAGAACTGCATCGACAGAAACGGAGGTGCCATCTGCGAAGTGCACAGTGACTCCGTCTGTTCCCTCATCGATCGACACCAGTCTTTTGCCAAAACTCACGTATCCCCCTTCAGGTGGCAGTAGTTCGGTCATGGCCTCGAGGAATCGTGCGCGATGAACACTGCTCCTTGCAACCGGCGCATGCACCTCGTGCAGGTATTCGCCTGCTTTTAGACTGTTTGATGGCGTGCCTTTTCCATCCATGCCCATTCGATAACTGGACCAAAGCTTCTTATCCAAGGCGCCTGTATCTGGCTGAAATGTTGCATGTCGATTGTATGCCGCTGCTAGCTCGGCGTCAATGAGCTCCATGGCACGAATGGAATTTGACCCAAAGGCGATCCCCGCCCCAATCTCAGAGAACTCCGGAGTGGCTTCATAGAGGTGTGGTACGATATTCTTACGGGAGGTGGGCTTCAGCAGTGCCAGAAGGAGAGTGACACCTGCGATACCGCCACCGATAATGGCGATTCGGAGAGGGTTGTCATTGTTGGACACGGTCATGTTTGGATGGGTTCTTGTTGCATGCAAAATGCTGGGCAGATCTTCACGGGCGATCCGGTTAGTGCGCTACGTTGGCATACGCAGGGACAATTATGTGACATGGTAGAACGGCAACCCGGATTAGAAGGAGGGGTAAGCTGCTTCGGAAAGGCCACTATCTAGCGTTGTGAGCCAAGGGTTCATTGGTGGTCAGAAAACTCCTAGTGTCTACGCTAGGGTGTCGTAGTGAGGTTGCTAAGCACACCGGGTCGGGCTCCCCCGTTCCCCGGCCGTCCCCCAAGCCTGCCAAGTGTGCCCCAAAGCTTATTGAGATGATCGATGATATTTCCTACAGAGAGCCCGCAAAGACGTTGCCAAAAGATAAATCCGAATTCCCAGAAGTGATGGTATATTCGAACTTACAAGCAATCAAATTTTGTCACGCGGGGTACGCGTACCGGTGACCCTGACTCGTCGCGAGACCAGGGTAGGATTTAGCGGTGCCGCTAAGAGTTATCCTAGCAGGGGACTACATCAGCGGCGTACGTATATCGGCCTATCATCCTCCGCGATAATGAGGACACTGCAGCCACGGTCAGCCATGAATTTAGGACGGGAATGAGACCAAGTGGCACAAAATGCTAACATCATCGTCGTTTGATATGCAATATCCACAGTCTGTTCTTCAAAATAATCTTCCGACTTATGAAATTTCGGAGCGAATGTTCCTTTGGTATATAATCTCAAGAAGAAAAGCTTGGGGCCAAGCCTCATGACAAGAGTCGAGCGGCCGAACGAGCCACTAGATTTAGGCTAAGGCTAAGTCTCGAAGCCACACTGACTGGCCGACTCCACCTGTTGATTAATCTCAGTGACGATCTCAATATCCCCAACAACCTTCTGGATTAAGTCTGAGCGACTACTTCCTGACCGATGCCTTGTCCGACTCGCTCCCGAGGTAACATGATTTGACAGCTTTGACAGCTCGTACGGCGGTCGCACGTAACTGGGGTAGGTAGATGAGCCATCCGGTGGACGACTAAAAGATTTTCCGCTGCGCCGCAATTTCCTGTCTTTGACTAGGCGCACAATTGGCATCAGGCTGGGCAGGCAGGATACCACCACTCCGAGGCTGCTTTCGATGGCAGTCCAAAGGTGAGAGTAGGTATCTGACCCTATCAGACCAAATTTAATTAGTATGGCTCACAACGAGTGACAAGCAATGGAAACCATACAAGTAATATCCGAATCACTGATTGCAATCAGGTTTTCGAGGCGCACAATTGAGATTGCGCAGACACTAGCAACCCATGATGGTCAGACCGCTGGACTTCTGAAAAGCTGCGTTGTAGACATCGTACATGAGACCCAGGGTAAATATAATCGACAAACCGATCTTCCTAGGCCAGGGGATTTGGAGTTTCCAGATCTCTCGTGTGGGCAAAACCAACAAAAGGACGTCGGTGCACAGGTTGGTCGCAGCTAGTGTGATCACGAAAGGGACAAAGTCTATGCAGTGCCCCTTCGTGGTTTTCTTCTGCCATTCGTGATGTATTGGGACACATTGGAAGATGGCAGTTGTTTGAAATGCAACGTACCACGCAACCAAAAACAACATGACTGAGCGGCACGCAAATATCATGGAAGGAACTGGGAAGATGCGCTGGTAGAATAAGACGATAGACAGCTTAATGACCGGAAGGCATGTATTCCAGAACAGCTGCATCACATAGAGGTTCTATCCCCCGGGATTCGTGGTCAGCCTCAGTTTTATCCCTTCATTTAACCGGGAAAATATGCAAATACCAAGGAATATTCCTGAACAGTAGCAGCGGAAAGCGTATCGACATGTTCCCCAACGCCTGCGTGAAGACCTTCAAATATCTGTTAGTGAGCATGCCTTGAATCATTTTGACTAGGAGGATCAATCACTCTGAAAGAGAAGTGCATTAACTGCAAGAGCCAAGGCCTTGGATCACATAAGCGTGTCTTCGCCGGAAGGAACGAGCGGATTTCTCACCAGAGCGACAATGCTCAGGTAGTCTTCTGCAAAAAGACTCAAGCCTTGTAGCCTGCGTGCCCAGACTCTCAGAAAAACCGCTGAAATTGACAATACAACGAGGATGCTGTTGATGATGACAATCTGTAGCTGTCTGGTGTTGTACGTGCCCGTTAAAGTCAGCCCCATCGTGTGCTCGGCATGGCAGGATTTTTCACTCTTTGTCTCTGTCAGACATTGCCAGGTAAAATACTTATAAGTCAGTAAGGCTATAATATATCCAAGGGAGTGTAAAGATATGCCTCATTAACAACCCCGGTCACTCTGAGACGCCATCGTAGGACGGAGAGGCTGGCGGATGCAGGCATTCGGGACAATCCCGGTCTAGTCCAGCGATCAGGATGGCCTAGAATTTAACATGGCCCACAAAAAGGGCGCCGTTCGTCCCACAGGATCTAGCATATAGTGAGCACATTACCCCCTGTCAAATTGCCGTCGGAAGTTTTGCTTTTTCCAAACTCTCTTGCGCGTACGCGGTCGCAATTCCTGTTTTCAATAACAATATTTTCCACGCCTGTGCCGAGAGCTAAAGAAAAAAATAATTATGCCTGCAGATGAGACAACTAATGCTTTGGATACCAAGGATCATGCGGCGTTCAAATCCTTCGACCTATCAAGTGACGGGCTACGGACAAAAGACGGCATCGTCTTAGTTCCTCAACCATCGCAGGATCCTGAAGACCCATTGGCATGTTGTTTATCTTTCTTCCTCATCCATCCTATGTCTACTGAAGACTGACTGTTTATCAGAATTGGGCTAGAGGAAGGAAACTGAGAAACCTCACTATCCTCTGCATGGCAGGTTTTGCGGGGACCGCATTAGATCTCGCTAACCAACTTGCTATGAAGGACCAGGCAAAGAATTGGGACAAGGAACTCATAGACATCACGTACACTATATCTGCCTCAATTGCAGGTATTGCCTATGGGCCATTGTTGATTAACCCCGTAGCGCAGGCTTTTGGTCGCACTGCCATCATTTTCTGGTGCCTTGTGTTCGCGATGGCCTGTGCGATTTGGTCAGCTTGCATGACAAGCAGAGGCGACTATGAGCGTTTCGTTGCATCGCGTCTGTTTGACGGCATTTTTGGATCCATTCCATCCATCGTTGGCGTGGGAGCGGTGTATGACATGTTCTTCCTGCACGAGCGCGGCAAGGCATATGCTATCTTTCATGTCTCCTTTCTGTTCGGCACTGTTGCTGGCCCGACCTTTGGGGGATTCATCGTCCAACATACCGACTGGCCCTGGGTGTTTTGGTGGATCGTTATTGCACAGGGAGCGGTTCTTATCCTTGGTAGGTGTATATCCTTGGAGTGAATAACAACTGGGCATCTGACTTATCTCATTGTAGCATTACTTTTCCTGGAAGAGACCAGCTGCCCTCGTGACGGGAAGACAATATCCGCTGTCAAGCCTAGGAACTTCTGGGCTAAGCGAATGGCGACCCTGCTTCCTCATAAGACGGGAATTTCCCGCGCAGAACTGGTAGCCCTCATATCCTCCCCCTATCGAACAGTCGCTGACCCAAATGCAGGGTCGCATCGCTCGCCTACCTTTCCGCATTGGTCTCTCGCCCGTCGGTCTTCTTATAGGCATCTTCCAACTAGCATCATTTGGCTGGTTCGTTGCAACGCACAGCCTCTTGACTGTGTGGCTGGAGAAACCTGTCTCCGTCGGCGGATGGGGATTCAGTCCTCAACGGAACGCCCTCTGTATGTCTTCGCCTCCCTCTAGATTACTTCAATGGCTAACTCCACGAGAAAGTCATCTTCTCCCTCTGGGTTGGACTCCTGACAGCCGAACTATGGGGCTACCTCTGCAATGACCGCATCGCTCTATGGATCTGCCGCACACGCGAAAAGGGTGTATGGAAGCCTGAGTGTCGGCTACATGCCCTCTGGATTCCGTCCCTCATCATTCTTCCAATCGGCCTTGGCATCGTCGGCTCTGCTCTGCAATACCATCTACACTACATGGTCCTTGCCTTAGGTGCCTACCTCATTACCTTTGCTTCGATGAGCTCTGTCCCCGTCGCTGTAACCTATATGATCGAATGCGTTGCTTCGCAGCCCACCGAGGTGGGTGCTTTCATGGGCGCGTACCGTCTTACGCTGGGGTTGGTTGTGCCGTTCTTCATCAATCAGTGGGTTGCCCGGGTGGGCTTCGGTTGGGTATATGGAATGATGGCCTTCTTTTCCATTTTTGCATTTGGGTTCGTGGTTGTGTTGATGTTGTTTGGGGCTAGCTTGAGGGAGCGGACCTTGGCCAAGTTTGCTCCTAGTGAGATTGGAGCCAAGGTTATATATACCAGTGATGAGGAGGGACCATAGAATGTTAGTAGCTCGAGGTATATGATTCACTTTTGGTAAATCCAATAGTGGAAGTCCAGAAGTGAGGACGCCCAATACACCAAATGTAAGAGGTATCAAAACCCTAAAACTCTTTATTATAGTTCATACCCTTACTTTATTTCGACTGAAGTGATGGACCCAATGGGGCCATGCGGCACGCCCTAATGGAGGGCTCTATCAGCACCCTCAATCAACTTCACCCCTGTCAGACATCAGCCGGCCCACTCACGCATTGCGGCTGACTCCATTTTCCATCCCAATAGGCTCATGTAGCAGTACGTAGTTTAAGAAAGGTGGGTATGGCCCCTGCACTCTGCATTCAAAATTATCTCTCTATAACAAGCACATCAATATCTAAACCACACTACTATCTTGAAGAAACTGCATGGACAAGACACTGTGGCCATATCGGCATTTTGTTTTATTGTGTCATCTAAGACGAGATGATGTTGAAGCCACGTGTATGCTAGACTACTCCCTGCCCACCCGTCTTACAAGCAAGCATGTCTCACATCAAGATCCAATAAGGGTCTTTCCAGGGTCCCATAGGGGGTCAAAGTACCTAGATAAGCCCCACCCTTACAAAGGGTCTCGCCCTCAGCTCCAATGATTACAGGGCTCTATTGGCGGTTTGCGCTTCTGCCTAGTCGAAGTAGTTTGGATCTATCGATCAACCAGGAACTGGTGTTTCCCACTTGCACCCTAAGCCTTGTACCACATAAGCTTTATCTTCCCGTCATCCTGCTGTTTCCGACTGAGAGTCTTTCTATGTAGACTTTTTATCAATAGCACGATGGCATACGCTCCATCCCCTCGCTTTTGGGTAACCCTCTTTCGCACACTGCTCAATACCTTTATCCATTCCGCTGGAGACGATCCGCTGCTTGCACAAGCTCATGCCATATGGCAACATGAACCTACACATTCGGATAATGTATTACTGATGGTACCTATTGTTGTCGGAGTCATTCTGAGCGGGCTAGTAAGTCAGGGAATTAACTGAAAATTCCCCCAGAGATGGCATATTGACAGGCTTCAGATCCGATATATCCTTGGACATGTTTTGATGTCTATTCTCATACTTGAAAGTGTGAAAAATCAGGCTTCTGGATACATTTCTGAAATGAGCGACAAGAAGCCTGGTCCATCCAGCCGTCAGCTACTCCATACCATCGCCACCATTTACCGCAAGGGTAATTTCCGTCTCCTCCTGAATGGCATTGGTTCTGCCTCCAGCTATTGGGTGAAGCACATGTGCACGAAGCAGATGCTAATGAAAGCATTATTCCTTCCTGGCCCGGTCGCGTATATCGTCTCCTCGGTGCTGCTCGCTGAATATCATTTCTTGTGGACAGCGCGCACCATACTTCCACGCGACCAGCAGCGCTTTGTGCCTAATTCTGGCGATCGCCAACGATGGAAAGCTTTGGTACCGGCCACGGCCTTATATGCGGTTGCTGAATCGTTTATGATGCATGTACCTGCGATGTTTGGTAGCGACCTTGGCCCGTCACCTAGCACGGAGGTCTCGAAAGCGTACTTGTCGGGTATTGTTGGGTCTGACATCTTCGTGTCAGGAGCCATGCTCGCCGCACAATTGTTGCTTTTCTTCCCTTCATTTATAGCGTTGATTCTCGTTCAGACCAGTCTGTTGCCATCTGTGTGTGAGACGCTTGTCTCTGCGCCGGTGAACCGAGTGCGGCAGCAACAGCAGCGGGGCAGTCGTGTTGGAGAGATCTTTGCAGCGTTCAACAAAGGCCCCCTTCATGTACAGGACATGACGAGAATTATTGGAGCAAGGCATATGTTGTGGTGTGTTGAGTTACACGCAAAGATGTGCTTGAGTCTGGTTGGGGTTTCCGCTGTGGTGCATTTGGCGGTCTATAATATGAAGTAACGTCCCACGCCTGACAAATGATTAGAGACGGTGGTTCGCTTCAGGGGTTTTCTTTCGTCGATATCTGTTTCTCACCCGCGACACTTGTCTGGAAGTCGCGTCATATGCGGCTTTCATGTCCCTTTTCCCTGTGGTGGCTCAGGCGTTGTCCATAGCCCCCGTGCTGCACAAGCTCTCGCGAATATAAATGTATATACCCAGCAAAGTGGTATTCTGTCGCGAGATACAGATAGCCAGGTATGAAACGAATATGAACCCATCTAGATCATCGATCTCATATTCACGACCACACGAGATAGTCCACGAAGCCATCGAGGATATCTCAATCAAAATGCTCCGCAACATGGTGCGCAACAGCAGCTTCATCGCCCTCAAAGACGTCACAGACAGGACACCGAATAACCCCTGCATCCATACTACCTACTCCTTCCACCCCAGGAACCACCACCTCATCAACACCATCCACACCCCCAGCAACATCCCTTCCCCTGCCCTTCTTTCCCCTCTGCATCCCCCCATACCCAGGAGTAACATACGCATCCAACCCCACACTCTCCGCTGGCACCTCTCCTTCATCCCCTCCACCACCCTGATACCCCCTACCTCCACCCCTCCTACCACCTCTCCGCCCACCTCTACCTCCCCAAGAACCTCCCTGCTCCAGGTCCCCTTGCTCAACACCCATATATTCCGTACCACCAAGGTTAGAATTAGAGCTAAGATTAGTATTCATAGCCTGCACCCTCCCCACTCTCCCATCCGTTAAGCGGACTTTAATCCCCCTCGGATGGTTGCCCCGCGTCAATACCTCACCAACAGTACCGCTGACTGTGCGGCCTGTCGGTTGGTCTTTTTTCAGGACGATGTGGACGCCTGCACCAGGGCGAACTTGTTGGGTTGTGGGTGGCATTGCCTTTTTCTTTATGTTGGGGAAGTTATGGGTGTTAGTGAGTGTCAATGGATGAGTTTGTGATAAGATTGCGGTACGGATAAAAATAGTGGAGATATTGCTATTTATGGCACGTGATTAGTGTGATGTCATTGGTGGATAGGTGATGAGGTAGTTACTGCTTACTGTATGGTTAATTAAGGAGGTAAGTAGATTGGAGAGGGCTGATATAGTTGAGTGTGAATGTGTATCGGCATGCTGTACTCTATATTTTGCGTATGTGTATGTCTGGTGTATCATGGTTGTGGGTTGGGGGCAGGGGGGGCTTGAATACGAATGTGCCCTGAAAAGCTTCCATTGCGGTCAAGCATGCCCAATGCTAGGCAATTAAAGATCTATTAAGGTTTTCCGTCAAGTACAATTGCCTAATCAAAATACAGTGCATGGATCATTTGTAGAGACTTCAAGTAACGTATTCATTCCTTCTGGTCCTGAATCACTGCACCACCACATCCACCACAGCCCCTCTCCCCTCCTCAACCACAACCCTAACCCCCTCCCTCAACGCCTCATCCAACTCCTTTACACTCCTCACTCGCGTCGCCCACAAATTACCATTCGCTGCCGCCTTCGCAATTCCTCCATAATCCGGCCCATCCTCCACCAACGAGATCCCTAGGTCCTTGCTCGACAAGCTGGCCGCTTCACCACCGGGATGCACATCCACCAGACACTGTCTCGTCGCATTCCACCCACCATTATTCAGAATAACAGTTAGGAACGGACACCCGTATCTATGGCTAGCCCAGTATACTGCTGACGGGACAGAGAAGATAAAGCTGCCGTCGCCGGTGATGTTACAGATGAAAGGTGAGTTCGTATCAGATCTGACGCGAACGTCTGGACGATTCGAGACATCGTACCGCGTTGTGGCTAGCTTCACGCCGATGGAGGCACCTCCAGCCCAGCCTAGACCACTGCCTCCTTTCGTCAGGTGAGAACCTGGGCGGGTTAGTTGTAGCTGCTCGGTCATGGCGACTTGATTGGTGACGGAGTCTGTGACGAAAATGGTATCGTTGGGTACAAGTTCACGAATGCGACTGCATAGAAAGTCCACGCTGCAGGGTGCATCAGGTGTCTCGAGTAGCTTGGTTGCTCGGGCGTCAATACGGGCGCGACCTTCGGCGTGGGCTGTGCGCTGGGCCTTGCGTCGATCAGTCCAGCTGGTCTGAAGATCGGTGAGAGAGGGCGAGGAGGTGATGTGTGCGTTGAGCTGGGTTAGTGCTAGCCCCGTATCGGCGTGAAATGTAGCTGCTGCTCCAATGTCGAACATGTTCATACGCTCTTTGCGTGGGTCAAGGTCGATGTGGAAGATGACTGCGTCAGGGTTGGGATGGATGCGGCGGGGAATCCAGGGGACGTCGGCGTCGAGGACGAGGATCACGTCTGCGGATTGAACAGCCGGTGCGGCGCCCGTTCCTCTCGTTACGCATGCTGGGTGCGTAGCTGGGAAGCATACTTCGCGAAGCTCGGAGTCGAACACCCGCAGACCGTGGATGGTGTCGGCCAATTTAATCAATTCTTGGACCGCGCTGTGGTTTCTACCCATGTATCCGGTCACTACTAGGGGTGACTTTGCATTGAGCAGCGCACCGCCAATGAGCTCCACTGCTTGTGGGGATAGAGAGCCCAGCTGGCAAGAAGGGACAGGCTTGAGGCGGGTTTGTGAGCTAGGGATAGGTGTGGCAAGGATTTCGCGGGTGGCAGTGAGATACACTGGGCCAGGGGAGCCAGTAGTGGCCATAAGAACGGCGCGATGCACCAGGCTACCGACATTATGCGGCGACTTGATCTCTGCGCTGAAGCGACTGTAGGGTGCCACAAGGGCGGCCTGGTCGCGAATGTCCTGGTACCATTGGACATGCTCGGAGCGCGAACCAGGAGCTTCGCCCAGGAGGGTGGATGGAGCGACACCGGCGAAGATCACGACCGGGGCGCGTCCGCTAGATGCATTGTGCAGGCCTTGACCGAGCGCTGCAGTCCCCACGTCCACGTGGGCAATCACACAGGCCGGTTTGTGGCTCATTCGGGCATATCCATCGGCGGCGGACATGGCCACGAACTGGGCGATCAGCACGACAGCTATCATTTGAGGTGTGGCTAACATACCTCGTGTTGGAAGAGTACCATCTTGGGGTACTGCCCGGCAGGGTCATTTTGACGGCGGACATATGCCTCGATGATGCTAGGATGATCCGAACCAAGCACGGTGAAGAGGTAATCGACACCAGCCTATTAATGTGAGATGGGGTCTAGGAGACAGCTGAAGGTAGTTTACCTCGGCCAGAGCCTCTAGAAAGGCATCCGCCACAGTATGGGGAGCAGTCTCAAGTGTTGTTTCCTGTGACATTCTGCAAATTTGAAGTACTGGTATGCAGGGAGATGCAAATGCCTAGTTGGCCCCTCCTCTTTATGCTGCCACTTGATGTATTAATGCATATCCACCCATGTCAACGAGGAGGGGTCATGTATTGATAGGTATTACACTAGGATCAATACTGAGTTAGATGGAAAACCCCACTGACTAGGATGGTCCTGGCGTCTTGGCGCTGGCCATCGACCCGTCAATATAAGCATCCAGGGCTAATGGACACTATGGACGGCCGGGTGGCAGGCTAAGTCCCCACTAACGGAGGGCCGGACAACCTCCGGACAACCTCCGGACCAGAGAATGGACTGTGGCTGCAGCTGAACCGGTGCCAAGAGCAAGGGTCAGCCTTAGATGAAGCTAATAAGGGTGAAACTAATGGCCTGAAGGATGGGACAGATGAATGTAATTATGTGCGCTGTGTGGGTATAAGGGCTTGGACGTGTCAATACCAGCACCCCGATTCATTGTCCGAGATGAGCAAGCCTCATGGATATGCCGCTTCGCTGTGCATGGAAATGCCCGTCTTCACAATGATCTGGTTCTTCGCAATTGGTCCCTGGCTTCCAACGCTCTCTGAATCATCTTCGTCTTCGCCAATATCAGCATCAACATCCCGCGTGCCATTCCCCGACCGGGACCCCAATCGACTCATCCGATAGCTCGGCCTCGTCCGACTCCGACTCTTTCTGGACCCATTCGACAATGAACCAAACAGACCAGGCAGGAGCTTCTGAATGGGATGTTTAAGGAACGGCAGGCAAGCGCAGATGATTCCCGTACTAGCCTCGATGGCACTCCATAGCAACGCATCAAATGACCCCCAGGTTGGGTCCGTAGTTGTCGTGCTCTTCTCCATCGCCCACATGCGAATGATACTCGTCACACACACAAAAAGCCCCATACAGAACACCAACATGACTCCAATCTTCCTGATCCGATCAAGCTGTAGCTGGGCCAGTACCGGCAGCGGCAGTAAACATACCCAAATATCCATCGCCGTATTGTAACCCGCCCAAGACCAACGGAAGGGAGCATTTTGGACGCACTTCTTAGGGATATGCTTGTACCAGCTGGCACGAACGGGGGTGCATTGGAAGATGGTGGCTAAGACGAAACCGAAGGTGCTAGCGAGGACGAGACCGATGGTAATCCAACAGATTATGCGGAAGATGCGATTGGGGAAGACTCGGAGGTAGAAGGTGAGAAAGGAAAGTTTGTTGAGGCATAGGACAAGTTTGTAGAAGATCTGGAAGAGCCAGAAGTACTAGCCGAAGATTAGCTAGGCGTGCTTGACTGGGAGAACATATCTCGCACCTTCAAGGCAAGGACAACGTTGCCGCCTGTTCTGACTATGTCGGCTTTGTGCCGTCCAAAGGCATAGTGGCAGGCTGGATACAGTTAGTATTAGTCGCAATCCGGTTGTAGGAAACCATACCCAAATCACCCATAACAGTATTGACAATTTGCATGGCCTGACTTTGGGTAAGTAAGCGTATAGTATTGGAGCTTAGGACCTACCATTGAAAACGCAATGATCCCGTCATCTACAGCAAACCTGCCTTGGACATAGCCCTTCCATGTCAGGCGACAGACCACCAGGACGAATGCAATGCACGTCAAGACGGCGGTTACTTTGACAAATTCAGGGCCTTTATTCGGGACATCCAGCGGACTAACCGCCATGGCGACGCTGCCGTGGCCTGGATAAGGGCAGGTAATGGCTAATAAGAACAAGAAAAGAAATTATAAAACGAATGACAATCGGAAGCGAGCGTAGGTGGAAGTTAGGAACTGAAAGCGCCAGCCTACGACACGGAGTCAATAGGGTCGCGAACGACGACCGGCCGCATTAAAGGATGACTGCTATGTAGTAAACCCAGTATTGGGCTCAAAGACTTATTAACAGCGTTTGCTTCAAATTATGCCAGTGGTACAGGGACCCTTAATTCCCGTGCCTAACTCTTCCATCAGTCTGGGGGATCCAACTCTATGCCCAGTATACAGCTCCGGGCATTTTACTGTGGCTACTGGCAAGATCCGTGAAATTTTCCCAAATACCACCGCCTTCATTTGTTCTGTTAGTGTTAAATTCTATGGCCAGGAAGGATTTTTTCGTCTCGAGACTCGAGACAATCTTACCATCGATCCACCGTCCTATTCGGCCGGATATTCAGACTTTCTATGGTTCGCATGCACATACAGAACCCTACCTCTGGACCTTTCCAGTGGGTATGTGTGTAATTTACGTACACCTAGGGAAGTTTGCGTAATAGCTTTAGACATGGCAATAAAACCACGGTGGGCCATATATGAGACCAGCTCATAGTGGCGTATCTTTAGGGCCGGAACGGCCCCGATACGAGGATCCACGAACGGAACAGTGGCCACTCGACACTTTAGAATAAAGACACAATATATATCATGCCACGCTAGATCATGATCCCTGTCAAAATACTCCGTACTGTACGACGAATGATTTATTCACTCAACGGATTCTTTGTTCTCGCTAAATTTGAGTGCTTAGCACATGTAACCCTGCCGGTCGCGCGCTCAGGGTTTGAAACCGGAGAGATCGCCGGTCACATTAATGTCGGTCCAGGGTCTTGAGGTAGTACAGACTATGAGCAAGTTTCAGACGACCGATTGCAATTCCAGTGAGTACTTCTGATTTGAGAAGAGTGGTACCTTACGAAGTAGTGGGAGGTGCGTGGCGATGGGTGCCCAATGCCGTGCATTGTCGTTCTAGGAACAACTGCCTCCTATTGATTTAGACTCCTTCTCTGTACTCCGGCGTGGAGGGAATTGAAAGAAATGCAATCATGCAACATTAGCTTGAGCTGCATATCTCAAAGCTAGAGCCCAGGCTACTGTGTGCTACGACAGCTTCGGCTACATGATGTTGAGGCGTAATCGTTATACATAGCCGTACAAAATACTATTTTAGTGGCCACGCCATTGTGGATTTATTCAATTGAGCTTGGCCCCGGCCAAGCCAGATCGTGGTAGCCCACACAGATTAAGCCTACAATTGAAACCGGAAATCCGGATGGGCATCCCCGAGGTCATCTTCCTCCGGCGCCATCTCCGATGTTTCCTCCTTGGCCGGCTGGCCGTCCCTGCGGCGATTCTCCGCTTGCAAGGCGAAAAAATACACCGTGCACGCCAGCCCGGCCACCACCGCAAAGGCCAACCCAACACCAAATCCTGTCGGATACTTTGGCGATTCGCTGCTGATGAAAACGTTACCAGACACAAAGGCACCGCAGTTGCCGAACGCAGGAAGCAGACCCATTCCAACACTGCGCTTCACGCCTTTGCCTAGGTTGACGCATAACCACACCACAATCGTAGACATCATGATGAATGCTCCCGATGCCACAAAGAAAATGCCCATATAGCGAACGCCGGCAGATTGCACATGTGAAAGCTCGACGCTCCAGCCAATAATGGTCAACACGGAGCCAATCATGGTGAATACATACCGGTGTCGCAAACGGTCACTCAGCCAGGCGCAGGATAGGGTTAGGACGAAGGCAACGGCATAGACGGGAATGGTGTGTTCCTGAGCGGAGCGGCTAGTCCATCCAAGATCCTTCAGGATGGTTGGTTGAAAGTTTACGAGGGAGCTAGCACTCTCTTCGGCCCCGAGGTAGGCCAGCACGCTATTATGACGGTTTAGTTAGTCAATAGCAATATCAGAGAACGCAGAATACCCACCATATCCATATCTTCCAGTCAGCAGCCATGCTGATCACCCGCTTGAACGAAATGGGGTCGTCGCGAACACTTCCTCCGTCCGCCTTCAGGCGCGCAAGGAGCAATGTCTTCTCCTCGGCCGTCAAGAACTTAGCGTCTTCGGGGAACGGGACCACAATCCAGTAGCAGATGAGGCTGACACCCATGGTAATGATGGACTCGATCAAAAAGAGCCTAGATTGTAAGAAAGTGGACAAATGCTGGGTCGGGCCAATCTTACCAACGCCATCCCTTATATCCGTCCAGATTCAATAGTGTTAAAAGACTCGAGAAGAGCTATGAGCGCGTCAGTGAGTGTCGCCGCAACTCTTAGAAACTAGTACTGACCCCGTTGAATGCTCCTGCGGCCATATTTGCACTGAAAAATATGGCGTATCGTCGAAGGAACTCATCGCGCTTGTAGTAACTTCCGATCAAGTATGCGCAGCCTAATTGTGTCGGTATTAGCCAACGTCCTCCCACTGCGAGGGAGTTGTATCTTGCGCTTACCTGGGACGAACCCAGCCTCACACATTCCCATAAAGAAGCGGCAAGCGATAAGTCCGCTCGCGGTCTTGACAAGACCCTGGCCCATCACGAAAAGGCCTACCGCAGACACCGCATTAGCAGACACAATCATCAGTAACCGCCAGCCATCTTACCCCATGTAAACATATACAGCACCAGCATCTTTGGCCCGAACTTTTTGACCAGCAGATTTGCCGGCATGCCAAAAATCACGTATGCGACAGTAAACATTGTGACAGCCAGATTGTAGTCATTTCCGACCAGGTGCAGTTCCTTGCTCATGCCCGCAATTTTCGCATTGCTAAGGACGTCTTATCGTTAGCATTTCTGGAATTGATTTTGTTGCACAGCGAGAGGTTCTCACCCGATATTCGATCGGTCCATGAAGGACACCAAGAACAGAAACCATAAAGCGGGGATGACTCTCCAGTCCAGCTTGCGCAGGAGCTTCTTCTCCAAAGCCGGGTCGATGTTGTCGCCAGTCGAGGCTTCCACCACCCGTGGCTCAATCTCAGTCTTCTCCATCTCCATGATTCTGGCAGTCCTTGTGTTTTCGGAGGGGAAGGATGCAAAGGAAGAGTCTCGGCCTCCACACTGCGGGACACCCCTGTTTTTGTAAAGGATGCAACAGGGATAAGTTTCGGAAAATCCGAGCGGCAAAGGAAGAAAAGAAAATTAATCTTTCGGCAGAACTGCGACAAAGCCAGTCCTGATGAAAATGTATCCCTGGCTGGGGGTTAGGGTAGAGATTGGCCCATTGGTCGATACAGCTAACGGGGTGATATGGTACGGTATCGTTGTTGTTCAGCTGGTAAAAGTGGCTCCGCTTAGCGCGCCCCACGCCAATATACTAAGTGCAACATGGCCGTCTTGCATCATGCGCGGAACAAACCCTGGATTAGTCTGGCCATCAAAATATTTCGCAGAGGAACAGGAGACGGGCAGCTGGATTGTAGATCCGAGTACTCAAGTCGAGTCTAGTAATATGTGACTATCTTGATTAGGAAGGTGTCAGAGCCTTTCCCACCACGCATCTACCAATCACTGTCGTGCTTCTTGCAGAGCGGCATGGACGCCTTAATGCAACTACTGCAAGGGTACTATGGACAGTTGGCAAGATGGGTGGCCTAATTGCAGAACATACGTGCACAGCAATGTACATAAAGGCCACGGTGAACTATTTCATCATGCAAGAAACCTGGCGCCATTTCGGAGTCTCATCCCCAGAATAGACTGTATCTCTGGTCAACCTTGGTAAGTAACAAGCACCTTCAGCTGTGGGTGTTATCTCCACGTGCTGCAGGGAATATTAGTTATTACCCACATAATGCAATTTATAGCAAGAGTGTACGGAGTAGAGTGAGAACTATACATGCACAGCTAACACGTGGTGCAAAGTGCTCACTGAAGGATGTGGATACCGCTCTATGCAACCGACATCAAGAGTCGCACTAAATAGCTGTTAAGACTGCCCTAAACTTTTTCAACGATCGATTTACCTGTCCTTCCCCTTCCTCATCAATATCCCTGCCGGTGCATTATACGATATACTCGATTGCGGAAAAGCAAGTGCAGCAGTAAGGGAGAATGGAGAGCGATACAAACACGACTTGACCTACTCACCAGTCAAATAGAATGATTCAGAGCAACATATTTATACCTAACCCTATATTTTGTAAGGCATTCAACATGTTGACGGCCATAAGCATGTCGGCTCGTGTCAAGATACGATCCCAAACGAAACTCGACATGATGCAGTAGAAGTCGCTTTGTAACTGCATCTTCTGCGACTCATGCAAGACCCAATCAACACGCCAAGCAGTCCAATATACATCACAAGTTCTCATGATACTCCTCGTAGAGCTGGATCCATACGAGCCGAGGCATCACATCTATATCATGATGTTGCCTTCGGCGCCTGTAATTAGTCGCCGAGCATAAGGCTCGGCGAAAATTGCGACATCCCGCGCAGCAGTCATTACTCATCTGGCGCGTCCAGTCATCCCAGATGTATCGAATCTCCAAGCTCCCTTGAAAAGAAGATTGCACCATCTACAACACCATGGCCGTCAAGTTTGCTATCAAGTCTTTAGACCACCTGGTCTTGACAGTCCGGTCCATCCCCGCATCCGTCGCATTCTATACAAGCCACCTGGGGATGAAACACGAAGTCTTCAATTCACCTACCAGTCCGGACATTCAACGGTAAGCCTGAAATCCCTAGGCTTTTCTTTCTTCAGTCACCCTGATAAATCTCATTCTTCAGACATGCCCTTCTGTTCGGGTCCCAGAAAATCAACCTGCACGAGAGCGGGAAGGAATTCGAGCCCAAGGCCCAGAGTGTCATGCCAGGGAGCGCAGACCTCTGCTTTCTGACGGACACCAAAGTGGAGAACGTTCTCAAAGCACTCGAGGAAGCTAAGATCGACGTCCTCGAAGGTAACAAAGTCGTGGAACGCACGGGTGCAGTGGGGAAGATCCGGAGCATTTATGTGCGTGATCCAGATGGCAACTTGATCGAGTACGTATCCAATCTCTATATCATAACTTCGCTAATCTGGACTACTATCGATGGTAGGATCTCGAACTACTGTTGAGATGGAGAGAGCTGATATTCTAGAGGTTCATAGCTGCTGACAGCGGGGGGTTTATGCACATGTATATGCTTAGTCATGTGATGTACAGCCCGCTATTGTGCATACATCTGAAATTGTTGACAATTTCCCTTTCTTTGTTCCTTTTCAATGTTATTTTCACATCAAAACTCTTACTGTAACTAGCGGGGATGAAGAACATCGCTCAAAATGCCACTTTAATAGGCTAAGTCAGGTACAAACATGGCTTCGTAACAATTTTTCAGTCCGTCCAATCTCAGTCCCTCCCATCATTTCTTAGGCGCCTCCACGAAGCCGGGGAAGCAGTCCTGCAGGGTCTTGTTGTGCTTGTTGGCAGCATGTTCAGTCAAGGCCGGAGCACGAGTAGTCTTCAGGAAAGTCGTCCTGCAAGTCATACAGATGATGTCCTTTGCAGCTTCGTTCTGTAGTCCCTGCGTAAGCATGATCGTCGGAAGATTTCCCCTTTCACTCTCCACCTATACATTTCTCTCTTTCTCTACACAGATCGTGACACCACCCTACAAAAGCTATCCCCTTCTTCAAAATTCAAACAATCAATAAAAGCACAAGTAGAGGATACATACGGTCTTCAACTGCGACTTGCCACCAGCCTTGGTGTCCTTGGCGTTGCGCTCACGCTTGGAGGCGGCTTTGGCTCCCTGTGGATAATGTCATGTTAAGTCTGATAAGGCGCAATCAAGTCGCTGGTCGCTTCACTCTAGGAGGAAGGACTTCGCGTAGAGTCAGTAACAGCGAGATGCTTACGTTTCCCATGGTGAATGTGGTGGTTAGTAGATAATAGGATGATAGAGATCGGTGTTATGATGTGGGGGGCACAAGATTGTCAAGGAGGGGAAATTTTCAGATTTATATCGGCGTCCTTTTTTTTTTGCCTCTTTTTTCTTAGGGGAAGCCGCTTTGACACGCTAAGCCCGCCCGGGTCTGGACCGTGACTGGTTTGTTTGCCGGTCCCTAATTGGTTAGTTCCTGGCACGTGTTTTTGATCGCGTTTGCACTTGCTGCCTCAGGCTGTCAGTTTACGAGCCCTGGGTTGCGACCAGCCCTCCCATGGCTTTGCATATATCATGATGGATTTCTATTGGGATCCTAATTCAAACTTAAATTAAAGTAGTGAGTCGTCGGTCCACGCATAATCGTTCTACCGTCATCTGCAGTCTTGAGCCATCTCATGCAGAAAATCCTCGGATGTCATAGATACTACTACAAGGTATTTATATATTTATTAAAGTATCGCGGGAGACCCCGCAGTGACAGTCACAACTACTACCATCCCGAAATGAATTCCCACTACTAGCAGTTCTCAAGACATTCGGCGATGTCTGATGATAGTTCCGTTAAAAGTGAGACCGTACGTCTCGAAATCTCCACATTGCACTCGAATGTGATGATGGGGAATTTCGTCTGTCAAGTGACTACTTGCTGCACGTGGATGCCGCCGCTATTCCTTCCCGTCTTCCGTTTCTTATCACCCCATGCAATCATGTTCCCGCGTCATCTGTCTGTTGACGTGGATGTCTCACTGACCAAGAGTTCTACGATACATCATTGCTCAAACCACTGAGATGAAAGTGTACTGTTTAGGTTTCGCTGTAGCAATCTCCTGGATGTCGTGCGAATCTAAGCAGCGATTACCTCTTCCAATTTCATACACACGAAGTTATCTCGGTTCAGTGAGCACACCTAGCGACAAATTAACAATCTCATCAACCCCCCTACGCTAATTGGACTTTACAAAGATAGCGAACTTTAATTGATTCGTTCGAGTCTAATATCTCACCCAAGCTCACTTGGCGAATATAGCGCCATTTTAGTCACGATAAACCTCAATGCACCAGCCAATCTGCGGTGCGGAGACCAGCGGCGCCCGGGCCATCTCCGCATTCCGAGCCTTTACCTATCCATGATAACCCTCCATCAGCAGAGATAAATACCGCACACTGAGGCTGACAGGAGGGGAAATTGGGTTAGTCTTAATCTTCCTCACTCATGCCTTCAGCTGTCGTCTGAACGTCTCAACGTACCCCCTGGTACCGTCACCATGTTGCCATCAACAGACGATATCGCCAAATTCATCTCCATCGCCCCAGAAGCCACTGAAGGCAAGGCTCTTAAATTCTTGCAGGTATGCGACACAAGTAGCCAAGCAAAGTGGTCATGGAACTGACTTTGAACTCCAAAGGAAGCGAGTTCTTTCGATGAGGCCCTTGATCAGTTTTACGAGAACCCTGATAGATACTCAAATATCGCAGATGCTAGCAGGTCCGATTCGAGGCTCCAGAGCGATCATGCTGAAATGCGAGCATTACCCCCATCATATGAATTGCACATTAGCTCCGTGAGCGGAGCACAACGTGCTCCCCACAAAAATGTTGTCACCGAAGCCGGGGATGTTCGAGCTCGGGATGAGGTACGCCTCGACGTCAGCACATGTGCGACCCATCTAACATCATCGGTCATTTAGCAAGAAATGCAGAACATGCTCTTGGACATCCAAATAAAGTGTCAAATCTACAATACCGACATTGAGCCGGAACACGAGTCCAGTGAGTTCATGGCCTGTACGTGCGAAGTTCATCAATACAGGCGAAGGAAAGTTGCACGCCTCGATGCGCAGGAGATGTGGTCCAAAGCAGTGATGTATCCCGGTTTGTACCGTCACCCTTGGGCTCAAAGATACCAAAAAGACTAATGTTCTGGTTATGGCGGAGAATAGGAGAGAAGGCCTATCACGATTGTTACCAGTCGTCTGTTTTCTCTAATAATCCGTATATCAGGATCCCCTCAGCGTATGGTATTGCGTACACAACTTTACAACGTCCAGATGCAACACGTTACACCAATTCCGTTCGGCAGACCATTGCCCTAAATGTGACACTGAACAACAAGGCACAGGCCACAATCGATGCCATGGAGCCCCAATGCGATATTTGGGCATTAGATGAACCGGACAACGCCTCCGCTACCTCTCGTCCCGTGGAAGACAAAACTATTCCCGTAGCAAGCAGCATAGGGCCATTGAAATCGTCCAAGTTATTGAACTTTAGGCGGGCCTTGTCTATCTCGTCGTTGAACAAATCAGGTTCCAAAACAGAGGAAATGCTTACTCGCGCCCGGAAGCTCCGACGGGAAATTCTGGAGGAGGAAAATGGTCGTTGGCCAGACTTAGAGTGGCGAAAAATTGTAGCCGCCTACCAAGAAAAGGTTGGCATGAAGCAGAAAGTCGCCGAGTTACGAGCCAAACGCCCGATCCAGTATTTGCACCTGCTTCGAGCAGGATACTTTGAGCCCATCCCAATAGCTTGGGCGTCTCGTGCTTCAAACCCCTTGAAGTTTCGCATCGATGGTCTTTCTGGCTGGAGAGGTATTACTCCGGCTTGGAGAGGTTACGAGAATACTGCCGAGGAACGGCTCTATTGGGTCCTGAACCATCGAGAGGGAAACACGGGACCTCGCATGAAGCCAGACGTAATATCCGCTCTGGAGATGGCTCGTGCGAGAATGGCCACAGCCGTTGAGCCACCCCCGGCTTACTACTCCATGGATGATACCTTCCGCCTTCAGCGTTTGCCAGAGAGTTACTCCCTGCAGGTGATGCCGCCTCCATTCACACCATTTGACCTTCCCGAGACAGCTACTGATAATACGATGATCTTACTGGACGTTTCTGGATCAATGGACTTTGACCCTCTTCGACCACTTTACACTCAATACCTAGTGACCGGCTTCGCCCGTTCTAATCAACCAAAAAACAAGGGTACGTGAGCTCATCCATGCAGAAATAACCGTATCTGACCTGGTACACAGATGTTGCCAAAGCAATCATCCGCCGATTCACGGATGCAATGTCCATCCATGACCAGAATCTTCATGGCTACCAGCTGGTTACCTTTGCTAATAAGGCTGATTATATTGGGTTTATCAACCACTCTAACTTCAACGATATGTGGAGAAGTGTCAAGCTAGGGGGAGGAACACGCGTCATGACCGGATGGCAGAAAATCAAGGATCTGCATTTCCAGAGACATTCAGAATCCGCTACCTACCACCCTGTCTATGGCTGGCAGGCAGGCCCGCGAACACCAATGCTGAGATTGCTACTTTTACTTGATGGCGAAGCAACAGACATGGATGAGTTTGAACTTGATCTGCTGGGTCTCTCTTGGGTCCATGTCACCATTTTTCTGATTGGAGTGGACGGGTGTCCGCACCACCACCGGCACGCTAACGAGCTGCAAAGGATCAGCGAAGTGAACCCACATGTCTCATTTGTGGATGCACAGGGCAATGCGCCGGAGCGGTATGTCACGCATGAACTACTGAAGCGGCACCTTGGGTATGATGTGCCGATGGCGGAGTTTGAGCGACTGGAGCACTGGCCAGCAAGTGCAGAGCCACCAGTGTACCAAGAATAACTCAACATCCATCTTTACTGGGAGCAAGTGATGATTCAATGTATGTTCAAGTAAGCGACGCTCTCTATATCTAATTACATGCAATCATAGTCTATAATGCGTGAAAAATGGGGAATCCAAACAACATCTCGCTCAATAAAACCATGCCCGTAAACTGCTCCACCAAAAGGTAAACACAAAAGCCCCCAAATCAAACTCCACTCTTAAAACTCTCTACCGCCACTCAGGATGCTGATGACTCTGCTGCTGCTCGGGCCGCTGTACCGGCGCGTGTCCCTCGTGGTAGTGGACGGGAGGATGCTGATATTGCGGCCCGGGGTTGGCATAGTGGGGTCCATTGTTCGTGTACTGAGGTCCACCCTGGGGAGGGTACATCTGGGTGTTGTTGTTGTATCCGTACTCGTGGTGGGGGACTTGTTGGAGGGGAGCTTGTTGGTGGTGAGGGAACTGTTGAGGGTGAGGAGGTTGCTGGTGGTGATGGCAGCAGGAGCATTGATGATTCTGGTTTTGGTTCTGGTTGGATTGCTTCTTGTCTTGGAATTCATTGGCAGCCCTAGGCATGGAGTATTAGTATAAAGATCTGACGACCCGCAATGATGCATGAGTGTTACATACTTGGATCCGGCCTTGAGGAGGCCGTAAGCACCGGCGAGTTGGATACCAGTTTTAATGAGACCCATGTTGGTTATGTATTGATTAAGTGGTAGGAAAGAGGAGTAATGGGTTGAAGTAGAGGTAATGAACACTTGAGAGTCTGAAAGATACTCTTGAATGCAATAAAAGAATTGATGTTATTGTTTGATGATGAAAAACCCCCGTCTTTTTGGGAAAACATCCACGCTTTATCTCCCAAACACACGGCGATCTCTACCCGAAGCGGTAATGCTAACACTAACCCTACAAGTTGAAGGATCCGAATCCGCCCCCAAACTGCGGCTCCTTAGTGGAAACAGAGTGGACACTTCACTGCCTGACACAGCCCAGTTCACTAAAGATACGCTAAGATAAGTCAAGCTTTGATATCCCCTTGGTCCCTTTCCTGCAAACACCTTTCCTAACTACATACCCGAATCCGAAATAGCCCCTGCACAGCACATCCGCACCTGTGCTGCACCTCTAACCGAGTCAGTCAAACTACTGGTCATGCCCCCACGACTCAACCACCGCAAATCCACCCGCGGATGTCGGCGGTGCAAAGCTAGAAAAGTCAAGGTAATCCCTCTTTTCCACCCCACCGAAAGGATCAATCTCCATATCGACTCGGTACCTAACCGAAGCACTGCGTTAATGTGGACCCTCTTGCAACAAAACAGTGTAGCGAAACCCGCCCCAAATGCCAGCACTGCGATCGTCACAACCTTCCCTGCGAATATGCACCTCTCGAGCCGCGCATGTATACATACCGAGATGATAATTCCAGCAATAGAAGCACAAGCACAGCCAGCACTACCACCACTACAGCCCTTTTGTCCTCACCCACTTCTACATCCACATCCCTATCCATCCCCATCCCCGCCCCCTCACCATACATCTCCAACCTGCAAGCCCCCCACCTAACCCCCCTAAACACCACCTCCCTCCGCCTGCTCCACCTCTACATCACCTCCACCTCACACACAATGGGCACCGCACAGATCCCCTCCGTACGCGAAATGTGGGAACTCTCCGTCCCCGAAATGGCTTTTGAGTACCAGCCCCTCCTGTCCACACTGCTCGCTGTGGCTGCGGCGCATCGCGCACGGCTTGTGCCCCATGAAGCGGAGGAGTTGAGACGTGTTCAGGGCGGGTTTATTGCCCAGGCAGTTGGGGGACATAGGGCTGAGACGGCGAAGTTGGTGGTGTCTTCCCCGGGGGCAGGTGTTACGGAGACATTGTGTATGAATGCGATTTTAATCTCGTTGTATACGCTTGCGTGCAGGATGGATGGTGGCGCAGGAGGAGGGGGTGAGTATGAGCCTCCTAACCTGTGGTTGAATATGGCCCGCGGGGTGAGGACGGTCGTGTCGTTGGTGTATTATCGGCTTGTGGAGGAGAGGGCGCGGATTGCGCCTTTGTTGGTTGCCAGGCCGGTTGTGCATCGGGGGGATGTGGAGGTGCAGGATGGGGGGCCTAAGGGGAGGAGTGGGGAGTTGAGGTTCTTGGTAGATATGTTCCCTGGTAGTGATGAGGAAGAAGAGGTGATGGAGGTGTATGTGCAGTGTGTTGGGTATTTGGAGGGGTTGTTGATGGCGGTTAGGATGGGGGAGTCTGGGTATGATATTCGGAAGAGATTTTCGTCGTTTCCGAGTATGGTTCCTGGGGAGTTCCTGGGGCTGGTGAGTGAGCGGATGCCTAGGGCGTTGGTTATTCTGGCGTATTTGTTTGCGTTGGTTAAGGGTGCGGAGGGGGTGTGGTGGTTGAGGGGTATTCCGGAGATGGAGGTTCGTGGGATTGAGTCTATTTTGCCGGATATGTGGAGGGGGGTAATGAGGTGGCCGGTCGGGGTGGTTATGGGGGTAGTGGGTGTTAATGACGAGGTATTGTTATGATTATGATTATTATGGATTGATAGAATGATATTCAGGTAGTCTATATATACACCAAGGATCGTAAATGAGTCGTTAGACTGTTCAGACGGGCACCTCGGCCTGGTTCTTCGGCTGAATATATTCGACTCGACTGCGCGCCAGGTTCCGAGTGAGGATACCGACTCCCACGTAGATGAGCATGACGAGGTACTCGGGAATGGTACCGAAGATGACGCGCACGGCCAGACTGCCACCCTCGATATTGGAACTGGTGAATGCGGTTACAATGGCATAGACGATGCGAACACCGATCAAGGGCATGGCGACAGTGATAGCGGAGAGAAGCTGTTTCTGTTAGCAAGTTGATTTTCAAAAATGAATGAAAGAGACCTACCTGTCTCTCCTCTCCCAGTCGACGGCTATGGGCATCAGCCCCATACGAGAACCAAATCAGAACAGCCACCAAGGTCCATCCTGTCGCAAAGACAACCATCCCAACGCGAAGAAGCGTCTCGTTTCCACTACTACCTGCAGCAAGACCAATTCCGCCAGCGACAACCAAGTGTGTGATGAGGAATCCCCAGAGGTTCAGGAAAGGAGGGAGAAAGCGGTGGATGGAGTGGTTTCTGTGGGGTAATTAGTTGTGAAGTAGACTTCTTGAGCGGGATACATACGCTTCATGGAGCAGGCCCATGGCAGCCATAAGAAGAGGGGATAGACCAATGCCGTTGAGGATCGCAGCTGTTGTGTTGATTTTGTCATGGTGGACATCGTTGAGGGACATTGCGCTGCCGGCTATGCGCAGACCACACATGGCGAGGACGTAAGCCCAGCCGACGAGGCCATGCTTGGCATGCATGACAAGGCAGTAGATTGCTGGGAGAGAGAAGAGAGCATAGACGGCCAAGTTGGCTGCATCGAGGTGTTCAGTCGCGGACATTGTGTATGATGTAGCGTCAGAGTAAATAGCGGATAGAACGATGGAGTGTATAGCTGATAAACTGTTGCAATAAAGATGGATATAGAACTGGATTTGTATTCCACAAGCAAAGGGTCCTACCAATCTTTATAACTACAATATTCCTACTAAGATATCTCATGTGACATAGCCCTATGTCAATTAAGCAGCGAAACCGAAACCGAGGAGGCGCGGCAGGACAGCCACGTTCTAGTGGCTCCAGTGATTTTCGCTGCTGGGGCCAAAACGATATCCACCACACATATCGCTTAGATGAATACGGAGTCAGTTGAGGGTCTCCTAGAGAATGAGATAACATCTTCTTTCCGTTGTCGCTGGGTTGGGTAGCTGGCTGATCAACAAGTGATGGGCAGGCTGAGCAGTCTTTCACTGCTAGACCAGTTTGTGAAGTGTCGCGAATGACTGAAATAGTAACATTGCTCACATGCCGTTATTTTGTTGAAGAGGCGAAGCGCGCACAGCAGATTGATGGTGGATCCAATCCAGACGGATAAGCTTTTACAAGAGGAGGTAGAATGTTTGTCAATGTTGATGTTGATGATTTGTTTGACGGTCGCAACCCCTTACCGAGTGAATGCCTTGTTGCCTTACAACCTTACAGTTTTATGGCCTTACTGCCTGACTCCCCGCACGTGGCGGCCCCGGCCGCAGGCTCCTTGGCGGCTCCGTTCTTCCCCGCACATTCTGGTTGTTTTCCACCGGCAAACACAATCACTTTCTCTCCACTACCCCGGATTCTATTCAATACAGGCCAGGAATCTCATATATTTATCTCCTCGCTTCTGACGTATCCTTCAGCCACCGCTCTAATTGCTACATGCAGAAAGCCTCCAGGAGGTCGACTCGGTCGCGAATATCCAAGGCTTGCGACCGTTGTCGTCGACAGAAGCTCAAGGTAGGCTCCCACATTTGCCCATAAGCAGCTGTGAGCGATTCTTATCTTTTCTAGTGTGACTCAGTTCGTCCGTGTGTACTATGCACTCGTGCTGGTCACAAATGCGAGACAACCACAGCATCACGTCGTCGTGTTTCTGAATATCAGGCACCGGCCACCCCAGCGGCTTCCGCCGGATCTGATACACCGCAGGTTTTACCGAGAAGAGCGTCCGAGGACCACCAACAATATGCCACTGGTACTTCAGCGATTGGTTTCGCCAGACAGGTTTATAACGAGGAGGAGACAGGACGGACCTTGACTGAAGCTGCTGTGCCGGGTGATGTTGGCATGGTGGGTGCTGATAACTCACTATGGGGTCTGAAAGAGACACCCATGCCCCCAACGACTGTGATGCTTGCATTGATCAACGCCTACTTTGACCGAATGCAGTGGTTTATTTTGGTACTTCACGAGCCCTCATTTAGAGAAATGGCCCAGCCAATCATCTCTCAGCATCAATGGCAACGCCGGGATCTTGGTGCAGTCATGACGGTGCTTGCTGTCGCTGTTATCAGTTTACAATCAGTCCTCCCCGACGCGGATTGGCCTGGTCATATCCTTCTATCCAGGCATTCAATTGATGCCCAGGATTTGCTGAACAAATTTCTGACAGAGATTCGTTCCCGTGTGCTTGACATCTTGGAAGACCGCCGTATAGAAGGGGTGCAAGTCTGTCTTCTACTCTGTTGCTATTACATGTTCCACAGCTCTCCAAATATGGCCTGGACCACGTGTGGCATGGCTTTCAGAGCTGCATATGCCCTCAATCTCCAAGAAACAAGCACATCGTCGCTGCCTTCTATCGCTAATGAGACACGCTCTCGTTGCTGGAACCAGATCATCGTTTCGGATACATTCTGCTCCATTCTCTATGGGCGCCCTGCTTCTCTGCCTTCGGCCAACGTTCGTCATCTACAGCTCGTCGACGACTTGGGCTTTGACCACTCACTGCTAAGTAATCTATCGGTGGAGAATAGCGACGGAATAACGTCGCGCGCCCCATTTCACGTCTTAAAGACAGATGTGTATGCGATTGCTCGCGAAATTCTTATCCGCTTCCGTCGGCTTGACCTGACATCTGGTATAGAGGAACAGAACCTGGAAGCTATCATTCGTATTACCGAGGAGTCGAACGCTCTTCTCACTGACTGGTGGAAAGCCGTCCCGAGGTTATATGACTTTGACTATTGGAAAGCAGATGGTCGCTGGGAAACCGTTGAAGGGCAGCTGCAAACGCTGCCCCCTCAAGCAAGGCAGCAGGTGGAGACAATCTATCTACAGGCTGCTGTTCTTCAGTTGACGTATGATGGCATGGTCATACAAGCAAATAGACCGCTGTTGGAGCGAAGAATCAACAGGCTAACATCTTCGCGGGCAATCATGGATGCGATGCATAGGGCGCTAGACCGAGCCACAGCTGCTGCCCTTCGCATATCTCGTGTGCCAGTTCACACATTAAAGAATCACTTCGCTATAGCAGTTGTATCCATGACAAAATTTACTGCTGGTGTGATACTGTGCATACCTCCAACTGTGAAGCCTTTAACAGCCACCGCTCACGAGGCAAAGGATGGGGTGGTAAGAATAATTCGCGCTAGTCGAAGTCTCAAGAGCCACGATCGAATAGCAAGGCAAACTGAACAGCTTCTGACGGAGCTGCTGAAAGTTACCACCCAGCGCGAGATATCACATGCCTTGGCTGATAATATCGAAACAAATTGCCCTTCTGACACGCGATTGACCGGTTCTGGGGTTGACGGCCCCTCGAATGACTCCTTGAGTGCAGGGCGCTCCAGGATAATTCACGGACCCGCAGCGCAGGCCGCTGTAGATCCTGTCCAGGGTACCTGGGACACAGACTATAATGCCCCCCCTGCCGTAATGGGACCATATGATTTCCTCCCTGCCCAGGCCTTTCAACAGCTGGACGATACGTTTGGTGCATTTGGAGAATGTAATGACCCTTGATCTCCCAAGACACAATTCGGATATTGACTGACCTTGTGCATAGCCATGTTTAACCTGGTCCCTGATGATCAAAACAGTACGTGGAACTGGGGCCGAACATTTCCCTAGTCAAAAGAGCGAGCGGGAGTCAGCATGATCAGTTCAGCCTGGTAGCTCGCTGACATTTCCGGGGGTCAAGCCAAAGCCTAAAAAGGAACGTGGAAGGGCAAGCATCGCGATAGTTGAACTCCTATTTAGTATGCTCAAATGTAACCACGCAGAATGGCTCATGCCCACAGTAGCAACAATGGCCATGGAGTTAATGGTAGGTGGCAAGCCGCCGGATAATTGGGGTCACGGGATCCATGGGTTGGTGTGAATGTTCCGGTGGCTATCTTTCCGGTGGAGATAACGGTGGTGACCGCCAAAACTCCTGAGCCCGGATTACTCGGACTCCGCATCGTCAACTTTTGTGTTTCACAACAGCCATTCGACTACTTGGAAAACGCATGAGACAATCTCGCTCGGCTAATTTGCTAAAACTATTTTCTTCAAGCTCAATGAATCTGAAATACATACATTGCAAATACATAAATTGACACTGTTTTGTGTGTACAGCACTGCGCCTTGGTTTAACTATGATGATCTTCGAAACTCCCAAAAAGCTGGAGCGGGGGAAAGTCGAGAAGCTCAGTCTAGACTAGATAGGCTACGCACTTGGCAGGCCGATCGTCCGGTTCACCACTGGATTGACAAATCATCTGTGACCCTTGATGTTCCGCGGCGTTGAAGCTGGTGAGAATGTGGATCCTGGTGGGGAAGACCAAATTGCCGCCGGAAAAGATGAGCTTCCTGCACAGGTCCGGTGGCTCAATCTTGGGCCAGGTCAGGAACTTGGTCATGAAAGGGATGCGATTGTTATTTCATATTTACTTCTTGCACCCACCGACGGCCTGTCTGGACCGCAAGTTCTTGGTCAAGTTTCAGCGGAGCGATCCAGGAAATAATATCCGACATGGAGAGTTGTCCTCGATCTCAGGTCTGTAGTCGTGTGACACAGCGGCCTCTACTCGCTTGCCTTGCATGTCGGAGCTCAAAGGTGCGGTGCGAATTAACACGAGGAGCGACTGTGTGTCGCAGATGCAACTTGAGAAATCTGAAGTGTGTCTACACGAAATCACGAAGGTATTTCCCGTCTATCTTTCCGTGCGTATCAGTAGGCAAGAGTCACTCGATGCTCTTTGTATATAATGGAATGATGTTGGAACTAGAGAAAGGCTTCTGACAATGGTATGTTACAGGGCACTCAGAAGGTCGTCAACTAGTCCAAACACGGCGTCCTCTCCTGACACTAATACCTCGTCTTCGCCATGCTCGGACTCTAGTGGGACCCATGCTGGTATTTCCATTCCCCACACAGAGAGTCCCGGCAGTGTGGATGATTGGGAGAGCAATGGTCTCTTCGACGGTGGTAGGTAACAAGTTATTCTGTCTGCCACACTTACTCACCAGTCTTTACAGAATCTCTTCCCCAGTTATTGGTTTCAGGGACCAAAGCTATATCCGGCCAACCACACATCGCCATTAAGCCTGATGTTCTGTCTACCTATCCTCTTGACAATCTTCTCTCAGACATTGAGGGACTTCTCGAGCAGCCTGTCTCTTATTTGGTTCCAAGCAAGGGAAGTGTCACAAGAACGGACCGGAAATTTCGAACTAGACTCCCAGCGGTCTCACCTGAGGACAGTGAGTATTTGCTTAGGAAAGGAGCTCTGCAGCTCTTGCCACCAGCCTTGCGCAACGAGCTATTGGCGGCGTACGTCAAATATGTTCATCCGCTCTTACCAATTCTTGATCTTCGGGACTTTCTCTCAAAGCTCATAGTTGGAGATGATGCTCAATTCATATCACCACTATTATACCAAGCTGTCATGTTCGCCGGCAGTATCTTCGCTCGGCGAGACACTGACGAAATGGAGCAGCTAACGGGAGCTTTATTTGAACGTTCAAAGGTCAGTACTGATCACAACACATCATATGACATATATACTGAGCGACTAGCAGGTGCTATACGAGTTTGAATCAGAACCATGTGCCTACACCCAAATTCAAGCTCTCTTACTGATGACTCTCTGGCATGGAGATATGTCACGCCACAAAGGGCCGTCCTACTGGCTTGACGTCGCCTTCTCCACTGCGGAACGAATCGGCCTGCTCCATGACGAAGATTGGCCATGCGATAGCCGTTCCTTCAGATCTACTATGTGGTGTTGCCTCTACGTCCGTGATCGAACAATCTCGCTTGGTTCTCGTCGGCCCCCACGCATGCCGGTCAACATATACCCGGACTCGATCCTTCATCGTATGAACGACGCACCTCAGGAATACGAAGAATTCATTCATGAGAGCCTAGGTAGCGCTTCTCCTATGCTTACCAGCACTAGCCAAGAACAATCTGCCATGCTCTTTAAGGAACTAGTCAAACTCTCCTACTGTGTTGGAGCAATCTTAGACTACCTATACGAAGGGGCTTGGGTTCCAATCCCATCACGTCGCAGCAGCTTTTATTCACTCGCCCCTAAATGCAGTGTTTCGCCATCCATCAGACCAAGATGTGAGAAGCTCCTCTATTCCTGGATTCAATTCCTTCCACTCAACGTAGTTTACCATCCACCACACATTCCCGCCGATTCGGATGGAAACTCGACCGAAACAGCGTTTCTCGTGCACAAAGCCTTTCTCTACCTGCTATATCTAGCCGCCATGGCTGTGATATACCGCACAGGAACGCATAGCCAACAAACCAGCACTGCGCTTCCGAACATGGAAGGTCTAAGGGGATCCACGTCGCAAATCAAAAAGGTACTCGCGGAGCTGCAGGATTTTGGACTACTTCCGTTCCTTCCCGGAGCATCAGTCACAATACTGATGTTCGCTGTTGAGGCTAGTCTGTTAGATCTTCAGGGCTCAGATACCATGGTCCGACGGCAGGCCATGACAAATCTATATGCTTGTGAGGAGGTTGCATTACACCTGATGCAGGCTTATCCTACGGCTGAGATGGCAGTAATGAAGACTAGGACAGCACGCGCAAACCTTCTTGGATTGATTGAGGCTTAAAGAGCAATTAAAGACGCCAGCCTTTCGCCGAAGGTGTGAGCTTTTGCATGATGAACTAATGGATTATGAGCGCCGGGCAATTCTTTGAGATAGTACCCATTTATTGGAACATAAGCAGGAGCATAAAATATACTTATAATTTGACCAAATACCGAGCGCAAGTAGGAAAGTCACGAAGTGGTGGATTTACTTCGCTTAGGAGTTTGTAGACGAGATTCCCACGCATAACTTACTACCACCATTGTACTGGAAAGCAAAGTCATCAAGGACCACCGCGCCTCGTTGATAAGTCGGATCCCTTAAGTCCGCGGAGATAAGTCACGTGTACCGAGCTTATCCCAAGCGGGGGATCCTGCTTCCATCGCCATGGACTTAACCAACTCCAAGCCATTCCATCTTCTTATACCCCAGTCACTATGGAATACAATGGTGTCACAAAACCCAGTTGGGCCTCCAAACCATCGCACCAGCCAAAACGGCGCCACCGGATCCCTTTGTCATGTGATCCCTGCCGCGCTAGGAAGTGTGTAGATCCGCCATATATACCATGTGCAAGATAACTGCTGACGGATCCAGGCTGAAATGCAATCGCGAGAATCCTTGTCAGAACTGTATCACTCGCAATGAGCAGCCGTCCTGCAAATTCAGGGGCGCCAACAATGGCACTACCCCTGCGCGTCGGGATGGTGGGGATGAAATGAAGAATAGGATCGATCACTTGGAAGATCTGGTTAAGAGGCTGATTGCTGAGCGAAAGAATGGCTTGTCTGAGATTACGCCCCATACACCGGAGAGCCCTATCCCTGACGATAATAAGGCTTTGCAAGGTGCGCAGTCTCATGCTTCAGAGGTCGCATGCGCTGGGACGACGATGATTGATGGCACTCGCTCGGTGTACCGAGGGGGTGATGAGTGGTATGACATTTTGGAAGAGGTGAGTATTCCCATCTGCCTGTGGATCTTGGCTATAGACTATTTTGCTTCCCCCACGCTGGTTCATTCACTGTTTGATATTTGCTACATCACGTCTCCCTTTTATCATGTTAGCGAACAGCAGCCTCTCTTTTGACGTCGTGTCGGGTGCCTTTCCAGAGAAAGCACCTCAGCTAATAGTTCACAGATAAACGCACTCAAGAAAACATGGGCTGAAAGTCAGGATGAAACGGCTGATGAGGTCGTCCGGTCTACTCCCTCGCATATTGCCGACGGCTCGAGCTTGCTTTTTGGTCAAGTCAAGCCATTGGAGCGAATAGAGATCATTTCAACATTACCACCAAAACATCAGGCCGATAAGCTCATAGCTCTATTTTTTGATACAGAGAAATTTAGGATCTCTGTACCCCGTGAGTATCCTCATCCAGTGATTGTCAAACAACTTAGCTTATCACTGTGAAGCCATCTTACACAAGCCGACCTTTATGCGAGAGGTAATACTTCTTAGCTGTCCTACGAAACCATGAAGCTTATATCATATTGACAAAATTCCAGTATAACGAGCATTGGAAAGACCCATCCCGCGCAGACTTCATATGGCTAGGGCTCCTCTTCTCAATACTTGGCCTCACAATGCTCTCCTTTCACCAATTCGGGGAGCCGCCAGAATACGAAGGCATCTCAGAGTCTCTATTCCAACTTTATCGCATCCGTACAGCACAGTGTTTGCTTAATGGCGACATTGCGAAATGCCTTCCTTACACTATTGAGACCTTGAGGTTCAACGCAACAGCCGAGCTCAACAGAAAAGACGACAACCGTCGCGGCTTATGGATTATGACAGGAGTCATTGTACGAGCTGCAATAAATATGGGCTATCATCGTGACCCTTCTCATTCCCCGTTTATCTCACCGTTCCAGGCAGAATATCGACGTCGTATTTGGATGTCGGTGATTATCATGGACGATATGGCCTCATTCCTTGGGGGCTTTCCTCGAACGGGCTCAACACTATTTTCGGATACAATGGAGCCACGAAACATCCACGACTGGGAGTTATCGGAAGGAACTACGTCCCTGCCGTCATCCAGGCCCCTGGAAGAGTCTACTGCAACGACCTACATGATAGCAAAGACCCGCCTCTTCCGTGCGATCGGACGTATTGCAGATTTTAATAACACCCCAACGCTTGTCACCTACGACACTGTTCGCGAAATTGACCAGGCGCTGTATGATGCATATGAGCAGTTTCCTTCACATTTAAAGGTCCAAAAAGAGGGCAATGCCATCCCCTTAGGAAACTCAGCAGAGGTTTCCAGATTCAGCCTCTGCTCAATGTATCACAGAGCCATGTGCACTCTTCATAGAAAGTTCATGGCCAAAGGGCTGCTTGATAGCAGATTCAAGTTATCCCACGATCGATGCATGACATCCGCGTTGACCTTACTAGATTACCAAGTGGCACTAGAGCCATCCTGGTACAAGTCCTCATTAACGCGACAAGTGTTGACTCTAGCTGCTATGATTCTCTTTTTGGAGTTGGAGCTCGCGCGGCGTTTTAACAACACAGACACATCCGGTAGCAAAGTACTGCACACACTGGAAAGGTCTTGTGATCTCTGGAGACGCGCGAAGGACTCCTACGAAGAAGCTGGGAGAGTGTATGATATTATTGTGCGGATGATCGCAAGCTTCCGGCCCGAATCTGCAACTACTTCAGCCCATGCCTTAGATCTTCAAGGATTCAGTTCTCCATTCAGGGCCTTTGATGGCGTCGATCAATCGCTTGAGAAGGAGACGCTGGATGTAGATATAGATTGGGTTCGTACTTCATGCTACTTAACTTGGCCTATACTGACCGGAACAGACTACGTGGGATGCCTTCATCCAGGATACCGAGTTGCAGGACGGGCCTATCTATTGATCAAAGGGCTATGTACCTAGTAGTCAAAATCCTATCACCAACGTTTACTTCCTCTAAATATCTGAACATTTCATCATGGATTGAGAAGTGCCTTATTATTGCAGGGGCAAATATGGCGGCACAACGCCCAATTATGACGTGCCACCACAACCCTACTGGTCATTGGCTGCATGATTAGCGTGTAATACTATCTGAGACATAAGGCTGAGCTACCGATGCACCACCACAAGCGACACCTCATGTGAGAGCTCGGTCCCCTCTGGCTGCACGTGCATCAGTCTCCTTATCAGCATACCGCCACTTCCAGCTCCCTAAAGGTTCCATTGTTTCTTTATTCGTGGCACTGATTGAAATCCCCACCATATTGGAGTTCCTGGTGGTGATTGAAGCGCAATGATCATGATGTTCTCTCAGGCCACCAACAGCGACTTGGGGTCAATTGTACTATCGTTGGCTTTCCTCCTTTGGATGTCCCGGAGAGTTCGTGGTATTCACAACCTATCAAAGAAGCCAGATTCTGCTTCCCGAGGGTCCATATCGCAGGTAATCGCAGTCACGCTCTGCATAATTCATTTGATATCTGTGACTGGGCCTGGGCCAGACGCGCATCTCCACAATGGTCTAGCCGCTTTGGATAATTGCCTCTCGATTGCTGTAGTAGCAGGTATCCTTGTTATATCCATCCTTGAACATGGCCGAGGAGTTCAATCGCCGCACCTGGTACCTGCGTACCTTGCTGTTGCATTAGCACAAGACATGCATAAGCTGAGGGGCATGGTATGTGAAACAGTCTTTGACTGTGGCGCAACTAAGTTAAGATCATGTTTGGAAGCACTATGGCTTCTCACCTATATCCGTTCCTGGGAATGGAAAGGTTATCTAGAGTCGCAGGTGTTAACCCCAGAAGATGCGGCTGGGCCCTTTAGTCTTGCCTCCCTCTCTTGGATGAGTACTATGCTGAGGGAAGGCTATATCTCGACGCTTTCTTCCGCACAATTACCTGCAATTCACTACATGCTATCATCAAGAACTCTCCGCACGAGAGCAATTAAAGCGTGGATTTCAAGAAGTGAGAGGATTCATCTATATTTCACTATCATGCTAATGTCTATTAGCCGAGTCCGCCGGATGGGCTCTTCCTCTTAATCTGGCACGTTGTCTCAAATCTGCTTTCCTTTTACCCGTGATTCCTCGGCTCTTCATCATCGTGTTCCGTTATGCTCAACCCTTAGTGATGGACGCCCTTATCCGCTTCGTGAATGATACGACTACCGACACAGATCGTGGCATCTGGCTTATCTCATCTGCCGCAATTACATACATAGGGATGACGGTCTCTTTAGCAATTTATCAACTTTACATCGATCGACTGCGAATCATGGTTAGGGGTGCCTTGATTGGCTTGGTACACGATCAAGCGATGAAAATCCCCGGTAAAGAGGCCGAATCAGAGGCTGTGAACCTAATGAGCTCCGATGTTGACAGTGTTGAGTCAGTGGGGGAAATTCTTCATGACACATGGGCCTATATCTTGGAGGTGGTCATCGGCACAATCCTACTGGCTGCCCGCCTTCAATGGTTTGCTTTTCTTCCACTGGCTATCATATTCGGTATACTAGTCTTTGATCCTGAATATCCATGCTCATCGTACTAATGCACTACAGCGTGTTCGCGGATGAGTGCATACGTTGCTAAGCACCTTGAGCCCCGACAGAAGGAATGGAATACTGCGACACAAGAGCGCATTTCCACGACTACAAGTGTACTTGGGGACATCAAGAGCCTGAAGATGATGGGTATGGTGGATGCAACGCAGTGTTGTATCTCGCAATTACGTGAGAAGGAGTTACGCCTGTCGGAACGTTTAAGGTGGATTCTCGTCGCCTATAATGCCAGCGGTATGTGATAAATACATATCAACAGCTGCAAGCTAACGTAACAAAGCAAATTCACTTGGTATATTTGCGCCGGTACTGACTCTGGTCTTCTATGCGCTGTCATCTGGAACCGGAGAACTGCACGCCAACGATGTATTCACATCGATCGCTCTTCTTTCCCTGGTCACGCATCCGGCCAACATGGTCATGACATTGGTCCCGCGTGCTGTTGGCATAATGGCAAATTTTGCACGCATCGAAGCATATCTTAGTCAATCATTGGTCTTTGATCCCCGACATATTGATGCCAAAAAGAGCCAACATTTGGTATCAATAGAGTACGTCTCCGTTAAACATCCCTCAACACCTGATCCACCAATACTTCGAGATGTCTCCTTCAGGCTTTCTAAAGGGGAGCTAATCGTCTGTACTGGAGCTGTTGGCAGTGGAAAAACAACGCTAGTCATGGCCCTGCTTGGAGAATTACCCTCAACCGGGTCAATTAGTCTTGCATCGAAGAAGATCGCATACTGTGCCCAGGCTCCTTGGCTACCTAGCGTTACTATTCGGGATGCGATAATTGGTGACTCTGATTTTGACCAAGAGTGGTACAAGCTGGTCCTGGATGCATGCTGCTTGAGCCCTGACTTGGAGAGCCTTCGCAACGGTGACTCGATGTTTATCGAGAATAACGGGATGAACCTATCCGGTGGACAGCGTCAGCGCGTAGTATGTTCATTATTATTGTGGTTTGTTCCTGTAAAGTCGCTAATTGACGCAGGCTCTTGCACGCGCTGTATACTCACGATATGATGTGGTAATCCTCGATGACCCACTCAGTGCCCTGGACGAAAATGTCGCAGAACAGATTTCTAATAAGCTACTGGGCTCCTGGGGGCTGTTCAAGAAAATGAACGCAGGTGTTCTGCTCATTAGCAACACCAGTAAGTCTACTTTTTTCTAAAGCCAGTTAGATTTTTCTAATGCGTCATAGCAAAGCTCTTCCCCATGGCGAATAGACTACTGGTTCTGCAAGGCTCGGTAGCACGCCTCCAAGATCCTAGCACCGTTCAGCAGGGAAAAAATCCGGGTAGCCTTGTTCCCTCCGTTGCAAGCGATCAGACTACCCAGCCCTCAGAGCTGTATCACAGAAAGGCGCCTGGTCAAAACCAGCGAATCGATAACGCCGCCGAAGACTTATCACGGAAGGCTGGCGATATTGCTCTCTATGGTAGATTCTATTCTATCAAGTTGTACAATGCGTGCTAATCCATACACAGGGTACTACTTCAATGCTGTTGGTTACCAAAATGCCTTTCTGATGACAGTCTGTACTGCCACATATTCATTCTGCTTGACCTTCTCACAGTATGTCCTGAGATGGGCAACAGAGTCTTCGTCTGGGGAGCTTAATGAATATATGGGGCTCTATGCAGGGATTTCATTCATTGCGTGGGCAGCAACCAGTGGAACGATGTGGTTGGTTACCCTGTGTACTAAATTGGCTTCACTAACATCTAACATATGGAAGGTTTTCGCAGATGAAGGTTGCGATTTGCTCGGGGACAGTGTTACATTCCCAGCTGCTAGAGCGGGTACTCGGGTCAGCCTTCACCTCCCTTTTTTATCATATTTTTGCTGATGCAGGGTACCTTAATCCAGAGCACCATTGTCCTATTTTGCAGAAACACAGATCGGCATCACTTTAAACAGGTTCTCCCAAGACATCGCGTTAGTGGATAAGCAACTACCCTCCGCTCTCGCCAATCTAAGCACCCGTAAGCTTCCAATCACCCTCTCAGTCACATTCTCCTAACAAGGTCTATTCCAGAAATCTTCAAGCTACTAATGCAGGTAGCGTTGATTGTGTATGTACAGCCGGTGATGCTTGCCACAATACCACCATGTTACATACTGGTCTACCTCATCCAGAAAGTCTACCTTCGCATCTCTCGTCAGTTGCGCTTTCTGGACCTAGAGTCAAGGTCGCGACTGAACACCAACTTCCTAGATACAGTATGCTCAATCTGCCCTTGTCATTCCTCATACACCTCTATGACATGTCGTCTCTGATATATCCTAGACCAGCGGTGCAACCACGATTCGTGCTTTCGGTTGGCAAGACAAATTCGCAGCCGAGAATATTCAGGCACTGGACATGTCACAGAAGCCATACTACCTGCTTCTCTGCTTGCAGTGCTCGCTCAAAGTGGTGCTGGACTGTATAATGGCTATTATTGCTATAGGTTTGATAACACTCACTGTCGTGTACCGGAATTCTACCGGAGCTGATGTCGGAATGGCCTTGAATTTAATGCTCGGGGCCAACACCACGCTATTGCGATTAGTTCAGAACTGGACGTCCCTTGAGACCTCGCTTGGCGCCGTTGCTCGATTGAAGGATGTGCAGGAATATGTCCCGAGCGAAGATGGCGCTAAAGGTGCTCTAGAGCCAGGTGCACAGTGGCCATCAGCAGGAGAACTACGCACCGAGAATATCACTGTGTCATACTCACAGGAGTCAGAGCCCGCTCTGTGGAATGTATCATTTCGAGTTAATCCAAGGCAGAAGCTCGTGGTCATGGGGCGGACAGGAAGGTATGATCAGTCATTCCAAGCGTTTCATGCACGAGCTCACTTATTGGCTATAGCGGTAAAAGCACACTTATGCTCTCCTTACTTCGACTCCTCGAGACCAAACATGGATCTATCAGCATTGATGACATCAACATCGCACATGTGCCTTTACAGATCCTTCGACAACGCGGCATCATCGCCGTACCACAAGATGGCTTCAACATCCCCACAGCAACTATTCGCTTCAATCTGGACCCGTATAATAAATGCACAAGTGATGAAATTGTACAAGCACTGAGGAGAATTCGACTTTGGAATAAGATTGCTGCCGCCTCCACAGGTGTTGACGCTGTACTGGATCTTCCCATGTCGACCATACTTCCCTTATCTGCCGGTCAGATGCAGCTCTTCGCGCTTTGTCGGATGCTGCTCCGTGTGAGGGCGACTGCGTCGACGAAACCGATCATTATTTTCGATGAAGCTAGTTCGTCTCTGGATCGTGAGACCGAGGCTATTTTGGGAGATATTCTGCGTAAAGAACTTGAGTATCATACGGTTATTATGATTGCTCATCGAACTGAGGGGATCATGGATACTTTAAGGCCAGGTGTAGATGCCATTGCTACGATGAAGGATGGAAAGCTACGGGTATCTGTTATTGGTACGTCTACGGATTGTGTTGGAGAGAGCTAGATAGTCTTTCTGCGTGTATAGTGATGGTTATAATCTGGTTGAGAATATACATTGTTCAAATACAACGAAACGTACACAGAATGAGAAGTGTGCTAAAGTAATACATGCATTTGGTGCTTCAATTTATCCTTGTCGTTGACACTGCGCAGATATCTCGGATATGGATTCAGTGGAGAGTAACTCATGAATGAATCGCTTGTCCTCTTCTGGGTTATCCTTCTATTTGAGGTTAGCTATAGATCTCAATGGCTAATATATCCGCTTAATGTATCACTCACAACTCTCTCATGAAGCGGATATCTCATTAGCCCTACTGTTTCTAACTTGTTGCTCAAGGCAAATAGTTGGATCCAACTCTTCCCGTGTGTTTCGAGAAACACAAATGCCTTCGTGTTTCGGGACATGGGCTCCCCTCCGAAATAGTAATGTTCTACCCATTGGGTGCACGCATACTCCAGCTCTTGGGGAATATTATGCGTTTTCGGCTCTCCTCCGTGCTGAACAAAATTCCGTAGGTTGCTACCATCTTGCCCACATGCTTCATTCAGGAGGTCAAGGCAAGCATCCGCCAGCATACAATGGCTCTGTTTTCGTGTTAATTGAAGGTCTGGGTGCCCCAGTTGACCCAGGTACCCGGCAAAGGATTTATGGAGGAAGTTGATAGGTTTGTCACCATCCTCTGGAACATCCAAAATAGAATGCAAGTCCTCTAGCATGGAGTCAATGTCCACCCGTATCAGTTTTCCAGAGGCACTTCTTGGCAGACAACCAAGAATATGTTTGGGAGTCCATAATACTCGCGAAATAGAGTTCCAGTAGGTTGCTTTCTCTTTCTCACTCCATGATTCGTTGACTGAGCCATCTAAGACGCTGGTATAGATTTGATATAACTGTTCAGTTGGACTTCCTTTTTCCCGGCTTTTTTGCTCTATGTCTCTCAGTCTCTGCCTGATAATCTGGTAGTTTTTAGCATCTCGGACATATTGACAAGCAGTGGCCGCCCAGAGGAAGAGACCCTGGGCAAGACGAACGAAACTCGCCACGATTCCGTTCCATGCAGGCTCTGCTTCGAACGGGGCCAGGAGCTTGCCAATCTCGTGGTCCAAGAAGATGCTTATATCTGAATTAACGACCCTTTGTTCAATATCCTGTAGTCTCAACCTTCTATGCTGAATTTCGGAAAGTTGTGACCGAATGGCGGATTCTGGTCGACTCGCCACAAAGACAAGCACCTTGTTTTCACACGCCTGAGTAATGCCAGATAGTAGACGAAGAATCAAGCGTTGATCTTCCTTATCCGGGCACAAATCCAAGCCATCAACCACAATAAGTATGGGATTCTTATCGTGCTTCTGGGTGAATGCCATAAGTGGCTCCTTCACGAGCCGTGTCCACTGTTCCGACAACCCTTGATAGGGTAAAAGAGGACATCGTTCCAACACATCCTGAATAGCATTTTTCATGCTTGTATCGAAATTGGCCAGCTGACAAGCAACCGTTGATGCGAAGGAGTCCGCACTACTAGCGTCTCCATTTGTATCTGTAAAGAAAAAGCTCGCAGCCAGCCGCGACTGCTGATCATAATTTCGAGCCACTGTGCGAGCAACCGTCGTCTTTCCTGTGCCTACCATTCCACTAAGCCAGAAAATACCCTCGTCATGGTTTGTCTCAATCCATTCTGCTATGTCCTTCAACAAATCCACACGAGTGCCTTCAAGGCAGAATGAGTCGTGCTCTCTTTCCCGGGAGTTGAAGCAAGCACTTTTTGCGAACTGCAAAGTCGAGAATATCTGGACATCTCCTGTCTGGTCTCAGCCCGCTGCTATGGTAGGTGGACTCCAAATGTACTCACCGGTACCCATGTAGACCTTCTCTCCCGATACGCTGCCGAAGTTGTACTGCTTTCCGGTTCCAGCATAGAATTGGCCTGAAAGGGCCGGTCCGACAATTGCTTCCCCTCCCATAGTCCCGAAGGGTATGAGATGCTTGAGGGGATTGGTGAACGAACTTATTATTCTGGTGGAGATGACGAGGCGTTTTTGTAAGCGCCAGGCTAGACATCTACCCCTCAGCAAGTGCATTAAGTCTGGCCAATAACCGCCCGATTCTTAGCGCCTGGACGCTGATCCCAGATACCAATTCTGCGAGCCTTGTCTGCTCATCTGAAATGACTTTCTTACGAACAAGGGGCATTTTTGCGACTGCTGCGAAAAAAAGCCCCGTGTCCGTTGTTGCCTGCCGTCAAGCGTTATCAGCCCAATGGCTCTGTCACGAGACTATACAGTCGGTATCTTCTGCCCACTTGAGGTCGAAATCTGTGCAGTTCAGTACTTGTTAGACAAAGTACACCGACAGACACAATCCCGACCAGTGCGATACGTATGGGGAAAGCTTGGCGACCACAATGTGGTGGTTGCAACACTGCCCTTTACATATCGGGGTAAGGTTTCTACAGCCGTTGCCGTCGCTCGGCTACATATAGACTTTCCCAACATATCACGTCTCCTTCTGGTCGGTATCGGGGGTGGTGTGCCTACTCAAGGTGTTGATGTTCGTCTGGGAGATGTTGTAATTGGCACCCCAACTGCACTGCATCCTGGAGTAGTGCAGTATGATCTGGGGAAACGATATAAGGGCAAATTCGTCCGCACTGGTTATCTACCCCCACCTCCAGAGGAATGGATACATGCCATTACCAAGATGAAGACTAGTCATCTCGTTCAGGGAGATCAGCTTAGCTCTTCCATCACCGCCTTAGAAGCGCGGTCTGCTCATCGAGCATTTATTCGCCCGCCACCGGAGTTAGATACTCTCTTCGAGCCGACATATGACCACATTGATGGTGCAACAAGCTGCGATCAATGTAGTCGAGACAGGGTTACTCAGAGACCACCACGCTCTGATCCCACTAAGCCAGTCATACATTACGGACTCATCCTCTCCGGTGATTCTGTGATAAAAGACGCAGCAACCAGAGACCAGATCGCCAGCGATGAAGGTGGAGCCATCTGTTTCGAAATGGAAGCTGCAGCCATGATGAACGACTTCCCCTGTTTGGTCATCCGAGGAATATGCGATTACGCCGATTCCCACAAGAACGATGTATGGCATGAGTATGCCGCTGCCGCTGCTGCTGCTGTAGCTAAGGAAATCCTTCGGTTTATTGAGCCTAGTAAGTTGATTGTTGCCGACTTTATTGCGCAACTGGTAACATTTCCAATGCAGCTGTTCCTCGAATCGAAGATGATCACAACTCTTCATCTGCAGGTACTGTGTCCTCGAATGGAGCAATCACGGGCACCTTTTATGCGCAGAATGGCACGATTACCAATATCCAGACTATGACAGCAGCCGGAAATATCTATTTTGGCTGAATCCATTGCCTTGTTACTCATGCTACCGCGAGTCAAGATAGGCACTGCCGTTCCATGGTTTCCAATCCATTATGGTTGCATCCCGCACATCTAGAGTACAGGGTCAGGGTTAACCAGATACGGTGACATCATACTCACATTCCAACTCCCAACGACAACCCTCAATTCTGCACATCACCTTCACATTCACCTTAAAACATGCCCAATTGACTCAATTATTCTGCTGGCTCTCGATTACCACTCACCTTTTCACATCCGCCCAACATGCCCCAAAAATCCACCCCACCCACCGTTATATTCTGGCACCGCACCGACCTCCGCCTACACGACAACCCAGCTCTGCAAGCCGCCCTCTCCCTCAACCCATCGACATTCATCCCAATCTTCACCTGGGACCCGCACTACGCGTATCGAGTGCGCGTGGGTCCAAACCGATGGCGCTTCCTGCTAGAATGCCAGAACGACCTGTCACAATCCTACCACAAGCTGAACCCGAAGCAGAAGCTGTGGGTAGTACGTGAAGCACCTCAAACAGTATTCCCCAAATTGTTCAAAGCATGGGGTGCGACACATCTTGTGTTTGAGAGTGATACAGATGGGTATGCGCGGGAGCGCGATGAGGCAATCATAAAGTTAGCGAAGGAGGCAGGGGTAGAGGTTATAGTGAAGTCTGGACGGACGTTGTTTGATTCGGACGAGGTGGTGAAACATAATAAAGGCGAGCCGACGATGAGTATCCATCAGGTCGAGAAGGCTGTTGAACAGATAAATAATGGGGTGCCGGATAGGCCGGTTGATGCGCCGGAGAGTGTACCTGATCCGTTGGGGGAGGAGAAAATGAGGGCTATCAGTGGAGTTGAGCATGAGGTTCCAGATCAGGGAGATGATATAAACGCTGCGCATCGAAGTAAGCACAACGATAATCAATACAAGAGCATAGCAGGTCCCAAGGGCGACTTCTCCATCCCCACACTGGACGAACTCTCCATCGAACCCAGCCAAGCAACATCTCCCCACCACGGCGGCGAATCCATCGCCCTGGAGATGCTACGCACCTACCTCCAACAAAACGAAGACTTCGTCGCGACATTCGAAAAGCCCAAGACATCCCCAGCGGCATTCCACCCACAAGCGACCACCCTCCTCTCGCCCCATCTACACTTCGGCTCCCTCTCCGTACGCAAGTTCTGGCACGACGTGCAGTATACCCTCGAGCAGCGTGAATCAGCGCACAAACCTACATCGGACATTCCCACCAATCTCCCGGGCCAGCTCCTCTTCCGAGAAATGTTCTTTGCTGCGCAGGCAGCTCTGGGACCAGTGTATGCGCAAGCACGCGGGAACAAGATCGCGCGGTTCATTCCGTGGCATTTACAATCTAATCACGATAAGGAGACGGGGTTAGTTGACAGGACGTATACGATCGATGATGAGCAAGCGGAGGTATGGTTCCGACGGTGGAAGGAAGGACGGACGGGGTTCCCATGGATCGATGCGTTGATGAGACAGCTGAAGTACGAGGGGTGGATTCATCATTTGGGACGACATAGTGTCGCGTGTTTTCTGACGAGGGGGGGATGTTATGTGCATTGGGAGAGGGGAGCGGAGGTGTTTGAGGAGTGGTTGGTTGATCGTATATCTCCCTTCCCCCCTTTTCATTCCATTTCGATATTGATAAAGATAATGATGCTAATAATATCACAACAGATGAAACAGCCTCTAATGTCGGAAACTGGATGTGGCTATCCTGCACGGCGTTCTTTACGCAGTTTTATAGATGCTATTCGCCGGTGGCGTTCGGGAAGAAGTGGGATTCGGAAGGGCTGTTCGTGAGACACTATGTTCCGGAGCTAAAACATTATGATAAGAAGTACATTTATGAGCCGTGGAAGGCGCCGGTAGAGGACCAGAAGAGGTGGGAGTGTCGGGTGACTGGGGATGGGATGGTCGATAAGGATGAAGAGACTGGATTGAGAACGTACCCGGAGCCGATGTTCGACTTTGATGAGAGGAGACAGACGTGTATTGCGCAGATGAAGGAGGCGTATGGGGTGCATATGATGGGGGATGATCAGAAGGTTATGGATGATTCGTGGAAGAAGGTGTTTGAGTATGAAGTCAAGGATGGGAGGGTGGTGGATGAGACGAATGAGAGGGTGGATGGGTATGGTGGTGATGATGAGGGAGGACAGAAACGGGGGCGAGGAGTAGGGGATGAGAGTGGTGAAAATGAAGATGGAGGACATGCTTCGAAGAAGAAAAGATAGACTACTGGGGCTAGTTATGCAATACACGATATCCTTCAAACAGTAGTATTGAGCATTTTCGTCGTGTTGTTGATCTCAGATAGGGCGTATTCGTTTCCTTCTACCCAGCGTATTTGGCGTCAATCCAAGTGGCCCTGAGGCTATGTGAGAGAGAGGTAAGAAGAGGAGTGAGTGTTTTCTTTCCCTCTCTATTGGCGGTGCTGTTAGAGAACAGGCGGCAAATAGATGGCGTGCTTATATTCAGTAGTAGTATTATCTGTAGGCTACTTGATATTCGAAAGATTGAAATAACACCGCCTCCACCACCACCAACAACAACAATATATAGGGCCATATTTATCCAGAATTGGTATACCTGAACGAACTGATTTGATCCTATATGTGTCGTGGAGGGGAGTGTCTATATTTGAACAAGATAGTGGAAGGGTTGAGTATTGTATCTATAACCGTCTCCTTTTACATTTATATTCCCTATCCAAAAACGAACCCTTATACAAATCCTCCCACTCACCATTACTACCACTACTGCTATCACTGGTATCACCCCGCCTCTTCACTCCCAGCCCCTGCCCCATACCAACACCATGGACGTGAGAAGGATAGAAATACACTCTCTCCTCATACCCCCTTCCACCTAACAAACAATAAGCACAAACCATAAGCACAAACATAACCCTCAATCGATCCTCCCCTCCCACAGAAGGAAAAAAAAAAAAGAACATACCTATATCCCCACCACCGACACTCGAAGCATCTCTATATCTATATTTATGACCCAAAAGATACAACAGATCATGTATATGTAATCTTCTCCTCAGTCCTTCCCGGAGAAGTGCATGTTGGTATCGTCGATGGTGTAGTCTATCCTTTAGATCGTGGGTTGTTTGTTCCTCCGTTGGTGGTGGGTTTTGTTGGTTCATAGGGTGGTGTTGATGGATATAATCCGGTCTGTGATGCAGGGGTTGGGTCATATGTGCCTGCGCGTACTGAGATTGATTTGGTAGTGGATTGTAGTAGTAAACTGGATATGTAGTTATGGGAGGTTGTTTCGGATAGTAAGTCGTTATTGGGATGTGAAGGTAGGAGGTGGAGGTGCTTTGATGATGGTATTGAGGAATATAATATATCCTCTGTTCATAGGGGTAGTAGTATGATGAGGATAACATGATGATGATTGGATTTCGGATTATCAAAGTGAAGAAATATGGGATGTAGACTACTAGATCAGAAGTCGGATACTCCACATATTAATACTACTAGTAATACTAGTACTCCCTATTACTACTCAATATACCTACACTATAAGGCTGACTAGGTCCTACGCAAGTCTTCAGCTTAGCTCACGCGTCATATTGGGTTCCAGCGCTAGATCTCCTCGCTTACAGCGCTCCAGCCGTCTTATTGGATCTTTCACAATGGGGTGCTACATGCCACGACACGGCGTGCGTCAGCTCCCACTAGCCAAGCGCCAGCGGCCGTTTCAGCGCTAAGGATCCAAAGTGGATCTCAACATTGACCTACAAGTTACAATCAAGAATAGCTACAAGATATCTTCAATTAAACTCTTTCACCCGCTGTCTCATGCTTTTCACTATTGCCATCCATCGAATCGTCTACTGTACATTATTCATAAGATGATGCGGCCCAGGCCGAACAATCCAACCAGGATTAAAAGTGAAAGATCGAAGAAGAATGAGAACAAAGATGGCTCTAAGAATAATACACACCACACTCCCACGGTATAGACAGAGATGGCGGTGACTGTGCAGCGACAATTGTAATCAAAAGATGAGATTATCAACACCTCCCACACAAGTCTATCGAGGTGGGTGCTGTGACATTGGCCCAGGCAATGGCCCGGCATTAGACCCCTGGCTGTACACTCGGTGGTGGCCTGGCGTAGGGTGACCTCCCGGCACCGCCTCCACAAGCGTTCCAGGTCCGCCAGGTCGTGCTTGAAGGGGGTGCATCGACCCAACGGCCGCAGGGCCACTGGGCGCATAGCTCAGCCCTCCGCCGGGACTTGGCTGCAAGATTGCTGGGGGTGTGTAGGAGCGACCCATCGTCATCGACTGTGGCCCCGGTCCAGGCAAGCCCGCTGCCCGGGAGACCGATGCCTGCGGGGGTGGAGTGTTGTGACCGTACGGCCCACTAGCCAATCCAAGCGTCTGGCGGTGCGCAGCTTGCTGATGAGCCCCACTGACCATGGTCTGCACATGCTGCTGATATGACTGGTGCGCCGCATGTTGTTGCGCAGACATATGGCCGGATCCAGGCGTGGCTGGCGCGGGCGAGGCGTACGATACTGTGCCTGGTGGCTGTCGCGATCCCATCCCCAGCAGATTCGCGGGGGACTGTATCGGCGTCGGCGGACCTTGACGGGTTCCATAAGCGAGGCTACTGGTACGTTGTGTGGGTGAACCGATGCTCTGGCGATACATCTGGCTTTGTGCCGCCATTTCGCGCGACGACGCAGTAGCCTGTGCGTGAGACACCGGTGAAGGGGCATATGTGGATCCATGATACGCCGGGCGCTGCGCAGTCACTGATGCAGGAGTTGGGACAGGAGATGGAGCGGTGAGGTTCGGCAAGGAAGGATTAGACAAAGATTGGGTGGACGTATAGGGGGAGTAGGGTGGCTGAGAGGCAAGCGTGGTGGTAGGACGGCTACTCGATTGCGACGGAGCCTGCGGTGGTTGTGGGGGTGGCTGTCCGCGAGGGTCAAACCGGGCCATCCAATCGTTATTTGCAGGCGCTGCGGAGCCTCCTGGAACAGAACTATAGGACTGGTAATCTGCGTAGGCGCGTGTTGGCGGCAAATACTGGCTTGGAGGACCGTAGGCTGGGGCTCTCTGCTGAGATGACATAACAGTCTCCTCTTGACGCGGGGGTGGCTGTTGCGGGAGTGACTGCATCCCACCGTAGACAGGCCGAGAGGGTGACCCAGTATGCCCTGTGGGTGTTGAAGACGACGGGTCGCCAGCGAACCGTTTGCGCGGCTGGGGTTCTTCCGGTTCGTCATTCAGGATGCTCATGATGTTCGACCGCTTCGCCGGCACGCGAGGAGCCTCAGGCGGCTCCGCGGGAGGCGGTCCAGGTCGAGACAGCTCCTTGGGTGGTGACAAGATTGGGGTGGGCTGAGGAATGCCAACGTGCCCTGGCATTGCGAAATAAGGCCGCTGCGACATAGAATCACGTCGAACAGGCGATATTTCCGGCTCCGGCCGCTGCAGCGGTTGCGCCGGGGAGCTGGGCGTTTTCGTGAGGCTGTGCTGACGGGAATGGGATCCTGCAGGCATCAAGGAAGGTTGATGCTGAGGTTGGAGATATGCCTGCTGCGAGCCTGGTAACGCTGATTGTGCCGAAAGCAATGGTGACCGGTGCACGTCCACGCTGGCGGGTCGGAACCCTTGGCCATGGAGAGGTTCCAGCCGTGCCATCTCAGATGCGGATACCGGAGTTTGTCGCACGGACATGGGGGCTTCCTGAGGCCGTGTGGCAGCTGTGTGTGACAGCACCGTTGCTGGGACTTCTCGTCGTTCTTCGGCAAAATACCCCAAGCGGGGTCCCTGCATTCGCGATGGCAAGGGTGCCTGAGAGCTCATGACCCGAGCAGGATCCTCACTAAGCATAGGGCCGCTTGCCATTGGAGCACTAGCGGCTTGCGCAAGCGGTGGGTATCTCGAGACATTTCGCTCTTTCTCTTGGCCTGCGCGAGCCTGCAGAGGCGCCTGCTGGGGGGTTGAACTGGCGGGTTTGCCTTTGGATCCTAAACGGCTATCATCTGTATCCGGCGCGGTATCAGTGTGCGGGGCGAGAGGCCGAGGCATGATGATAGAAGATGGTGTAGCCTCATAACGCCGCTTAGAGGCGAAGTTAGGAACAGGCAATGGACCTGTAGGCTCACCACGAGCTTTCTTGCCCTCTGCATCGGCAACGATATCTTCGAAATCTTTTTGGCCCGAGTCAATGCGGCGCTGGAAGTAATTCTTGACCTACTTGAAAGTTAGTTGCTGATAGCTTCAATGATTGGGGAAGGTGCGGGCGTGAGGAACGGGAAGAACATACCATGACTGTGGTTTTCGTCTTCATGAAGTTGGATATACCCTCAAAGTCACGACCAAAGTGCGCCAGCAACAAAGGAAAATCGCGCTGCTCAGGCACCGACCAGTAACTCGTCGGTTGTAGAGACCCGTAGCCGCCTACCTCGGGCTGCCGGGCAGGTGCCGGGGCCTCCTGTTCAGTAGATTCGAAGACATACACGCCCTCCTTCGGACGTCCCCGACCAGACCTGGCGCGCGGTGGCACATCGTTTACCTCTCGCTCTTGCGGCTCCTTGGGCCGCACGATCGGGGCTTCGGTGGTTCCATCCATGGATGGCTCCGTAGTCTCCACCTTTGGTGCAGGAGTGACGGCAGCGGCAGCCACTGGAACAGGCGTGCTCTGGAGAGATTGCTCCGAGGGGGTGGGTTGTGGTGTTTGCTGCTGCTGCTGCTGCTGCTGCTGCAATTGTTGCTGCAATTGTTGTTGTTGTTGTTGCTGCTGCTGCTGTTGCTGCGCTTGCTGTTGGGCAGCCTTCCCTCGTCGGCCACCTCGCGTGCCTGTACCGCTTCGAGGTCCACGTCGGCTGGGCTTCTCTGCTTGGTCGCCATCCTTGGAGGCATTCCCACGGCGGCCGTTGTTGTCCGTATCGGCAGACGAGTCTCCGAACGTTGGGGCAGCGGCACGTCGAGGACGGCCCGTATCGGTGACTGGAGCGGGCTCCTCTTCGCCTTCATAGTCCGGTTTGACAACACCCAGGTCAGCCATAAGCGCATTGGACTTGGGTCGAGCAGATCGCCGGGCACGCCCACGACGGCTCCACCGTTTGTTGAGTTTGGCCTTGTACTTAATCTCTTCTTTGGTCAAGTAGTAGTGAATGATACACTGCTGGAAATCCCGTCCTGGAAGCGATTCTGCAATCTTGCCCCATTTCTTCGGATGCGCCATGAACGCGTCGGTAAAGATCTCGTGCTCTTCTTGGCTGAAATCATTCCGAGGCGGCAGGAACCCGAAGACATCCATGGCCTGATCTGGGTCGATGATGTTGTTGGTGTCCTTGTAGATACCTGCCTTCACCTCTGGGGGCTCGAGCATCTCAGGAATCACAGCCTCGCGGGCGAGGTCCGGCTGTGCAGTAGCCTTGTTGCCGCGACGCCTCTCCAGTTCTTCTTGGGCAGAAATCTCCGAGGCGCGCAGGGCATTTTGAAAGTCCAGCTCGCTATTGCCCTTGTACCGTCTTCCGCTTTCCACCGTAGGTGTAGGCGTCGCCGTGGCTGGGGCAGCAGGTGGTGTTGTGGGCCCGGGACTACCCGAAGTCTTTTCTTTCGCATGGTCCAACTCCCACACATTCAGCCTCCAAGGCTTATAGTAGGAAAGGTAATCCAATCTCAACTCGGCATTCTTCCGCGCCACGTCCTTGCGACGTTTCATGATGATGTCGCGGAAGGTGTCCTTCAAACGTTCATGAGTCGCCGCATTCTCCTGGTAAACCTCCGAGTCCGATAACGGTGTGGGTGGGCCAGAGTTCAAAAACGGCAGACTCTCGAGCGTAAGTGCATCGGCCGCAGGAACAGAATCCAAAACCACCTTGGCTGGTGGCTCGTGTTCTTCAGCCTTGCCATTCGGCTCACTTTCCATCTCAGGTGCCGATGGTTCCTCCTTAGCTACCTTGGTATCCTTAGCTAACACTGGGGGTGTGGGCTCCTTTTCAGGAACCTGGTCATGGGCAATCATCCCCAAATACTGGATGCGCATCAGTAGCGCCACGATATTGGGGTCTTCCAATGGTGGGGGCGGCAGCTCGGCACGGAGAGCATTCATATCCTTTTCGAAGATCTGCTTCCGTTCTTCTAGATAGTCTTGTGTAAACACGACATTCTCGTCCTCTTCTTCATCGCTGGAACGTCCAAAATCCGGTATGACGACGGTGCTCTGATCCTTGGGTGCCTCCTTGGGTGCTGGCTTCAATGCTTCTTTAGGTGCTTCCTTCGGTGCTTCCTTAGGTGCTTCACTGGGCGCCTCACTGGGCGCCTCCTTGGGCACTTCCTTCTCCGCAGGCTTCTCTTCGGCAGCCGGCATTTTCGCGACAGCTTCGGGCACATCCACGTCCATGGCCGACGCAAACGACACCGCGGGCTCTTGGGGCTTTGATTCTATGGGTTCATCTTCGCCGACAATCTCACCCGCCTCGAGTCCGTTGGCAGACTCATCGGCCTGGCTGAGCGACTCGAGCTTGTGGTCTTCACTAAGAGACAGACTTCGCTCTTTTCCATCGATGGAGTCGCGCTTTGGTGGTGGTGCAGCACTTGGACCAGAATGTGCGCCGGGGAATCCCGCACGCACCCATTGTTTCATAGCTTTTGAAGAGCCACGAGATATTGATGGGCGTTGCTGAAGCGCACGGGGTCCGGTAGGAATACTTGATGTGGGCATCCGAGGTGAAGTGTGCGGACCCGGGGAAGTGGCTGACCCTGCGGCCGATGGCCTCCGTCCAAGTTCTGGGGAGGTTATTGTGGGCCCTAGCTTTCTTGGAGACGGGGTTTCGTGAGCGCCTGGTGCATCTTTGTGAACCATTGCCGCGGGAGCAGTAGGAGGTGAGATATCTGTCGGTTTCGGCCCGCCGGCTGCTGCTGGGACATGCGGCTTCGGGGGACGGGTTGCCGGCTCAGGCTTCGGCGGGATATCGGGCGTTTCGTCACGGCGCGTATCATCACGTCGAACCCTTTGCTCCAGCGGTTGTTGGGGAGGGCCTCGCTCCGCTTTGGGCGCGGTCGGTGGATGCATTGGGGCTTTTGGCGGAAGCTCATGCCGTTCCTTTTCCGATTTCGTAGCTGCGGCGGCTGTTGATGTCGAATCTACAAGGGGTTTCTCCAGTTTTTCGGACTTCTCGACCTTGTCAGGCTTCTCAAGCTTTTCTGACTTCTCTGACTTCTCGGGCTTCTCAAGCTTTTCTGGCTTCTCTGGCTTCTCCGGCTTCTCTGGCTTCTCTGGCTTGTCCTGCTTCTCAGGCTTCTCAGCAGGAATGTCGGGTAGGGGCGCGGTGACGGAACCGAATGCTGGCACCTGGGGAGCAGCGGGGGGCGGGGATCGCTTCACGGGAGGGGGGACCAAGTCCTTCGCTGGTTGCTCGGGGAGAGGCGCCGGTGGTTCGATGCGCTCGATGCGTTCAATACGGTCCATGCGTTGCGAATCACGACGTGCCTCTCCTCCCGAGGGCTTACGAGGGGGTTCTGCGGGTGGATGGTCTGGAAGTCGTTCAGGCAGACCGGGAACCGGGAGGACAGTTGGTCCAGTCACCGACGACACGGTTGAGCTGCTCGGAATTCGATTCTCGGCGCGACTGGGGGGACGATCGCGCTTCCAATGATCGCCTGGTCGGTCACGTTCATCGCGTTCAACCCGACGGTCCACCTCCTCCCGCCGTTCGAACCTTTCCCGTCGTTCGAGCTCCCGTTCCCTGTCGCGCTCGCGCCGGTCAGGATCGCGATCACGATCGAGGATCACCCGGTCGCGGTCCCTCTCACGATCACGGTCCCGCTCGCGATCTAGAATCCGGTCTCGTTCACGCTCCCGATCCCTTTCCCGGTCGCGGTCCCTCTCGCGCTCGCGCTCACGGTCCCAGCGGGCATCGCGTGACCGACTTCGACGTCTGAAGGAATCCCGATCGTCCAGGTACGGCATCCGACCGCGACCGCGTCCCGAGTCCCATTCACCTCGGCCCCGTCCACGCATGGGCGGGCCACTGCGGGGGTGATGACCGCCACCGGACGGGACATCAGGTACTGCGGATGATACCGAGACCATGCTGTCTCGGGAGCCCCGTCGCATTCGAATCATGTCTGCATCTCGTCCGAGGGGTTCTCTCATATCGCGAAAGTCGCGGGGAGGCGGAGGGGAGCGCGAGCGGCCACGGCCAAAGCCGATACGCGATTCGCGGGGATCGAAGTCGCGGTCACGGCGGCCCCAGTCTCGGTCCCGGTCGAGATCTCGGCGAAAGGGCGGTGGTCCATCTCGGATATCTCGAAAGTCGCGATCACGGTCGCGATCTCGATCTCGTACGTCGCGGTCCCGGTCCCGAAAATCTCCACGGCCTGGATAACCTCTGCCACGCCCACCGAATGGGGCTCCTCGCGGGGGGTCGATCAAAGCCTTGGGGCCCCGGGGGGGTTCTCTTCCCAGCGGGGGTAAATTCGCATCATCAGTGCCACGGGGGCCAACAGGGGGTCGACGGTCACCGAAGCGTTGGGGCGAACGATCACGGGAATTGAACCCAGACAATGGAGGGTATCTGGACGACATCACCAGGTCATGCTAGTGAGCGTGAGCTAAAGTAACCTGGCAGGAGAGCCTGCCACAGGTTAGTTGCAAGGTAATTGAGATAAGATTTGTGATGGTGATTTGAATGGCAAGTAGATGTGAATATTACAAAAATAGAAGAGGAAAAGAAACACAAGAGAAAAAAGAAAGAAAACCACAAGAAAGGGTCACACAATGAGCGCAATGAATGGTAGGCAGGGAAGAATAGCCAGCAAAGGGACGGAACTGGTCCCAGCAGAAGACGAGACAGCCGCCGGCCGCAGCAGCAGCGCCAGTCAGAAGCGCCTAAGGCGGCGAACGGGGAGTGGAGAGCACGTGACGGCAGGGAAGCATGGAAGGGGCACGGGCCAGGCAGCCAGGCAGGCCAGCTTAGCTAAGCAGCCAATGAGTGGCGCCCAAATCGGACTGCGGATCCCAATTTGGCACTGAAGCAAGATTGCAGCCATGATTGACGGATTCCATCACCTTAGCGCCAGCCACTTGGCGCGGCCTGTTTCACCCGGAACTGCCAGCGCCTGTGGGAGCTTTTTTCAAGGTGGATCGATCGTCCAAGGGAAGTCACAGGATCAGAACCTGTTCATGATCATGGTGGATTTGACCCCAGTCCGCAACAGACAAAAAAAGGAGGAGGAGCATGGCCCTTTCTCCTGGGGTTTGACATTTTGAGTTTGAAATGGGGATTGAAGGAGGCGTGCCGAAAGTTCGATGCTGGCCGATCCCGTGTCGCCGGGACAAAGTGACTGGTGACAAAAAGTGAAGCACGATCCTGCACCCACGGACGACTAGCCCAGCCCAGCCCACGACCAACGCAAAAAGGAGGGAGGGTAGTAATGACAAGCGTAAAAACCAAAACTGGGCATCAAACTGGAAAGCGCGCGTAAAATAGCAAAATTAAAGGAGAAATCTCCGCACCTGGGAGCCTATGCAACGTGTCAAGCCGTGAACCCAAAGTAGACCTGCAAGGAGACCACGCCGGGCAGCAAAAATCGTAAATTGCAAGCAGTTACGGGAAAGTCTGCCTCTGGGATTATTCGAGACCCGTTCGTTGCTGTGTCTCGGAAGTCGGAGCCGAATAAAAACGTCGAGGACCAGCCTGAGGGGGAATAAAGTAGGGACGCGAGTTGTTGAATCGAATAATACAAAGAGAGTCGAGATGAAGGAAAAGAGTGAGTGTATGTGTATGATGTGCGCGTGAACTGATGAATGGGGAGGGGATGTTCGATTTGAAGGTGAGAAAGAGAAGATTGGGGGAGAGGGGGAGTGAGTGAGTGAGTGAGTTAGTTTGGTGGTGGTTTGAAGGCAGGATCTTGAAAGACAAAAACGGAGGAACGAGAAATGGGGCAGAAGACGATGGATGGATCCCTGGTGAAGGGCAGCGGTTGGATGGTTGGATGGGCTGAGTTTACTAAGTTAGTTAGTTGGCCAGGGACTTTCCCTCGGCCACGACTGACTGGTCTTAGTGTGACTAGTTAAAGGGAACTCAAAAATAACTCTGGATCGCCTCCCCCGGCGTGCATGCCTCAGGCGAGGATCTCTTGCCCTGTCGGGAAGGCCCCATCGAAGATGACTAACAGACTGTATCTGCCTCAGGCAATACTTAACCAGCTTGAAGGTGTCGAGTTTGTGTACGGAGGATGGCTGGACATTTCCCGGCGATGGCTCGGTCTAGCTTACTACCTTACTGCCTCAATGCCTGAGGCAAACGTATGGCGGGTGTCACGAAACGGGCTTGTCACCCCCCCGCCAATCCCGCCGCCTGCAGAAAAATTTCCAGAAGAGACGGAGGGGATCATCATCCAATTCATCCCGCATTTGAGTGCCCCGGGTTTACTCCTCGCCTATATCAGTTTGGTCCCCGCTTAACTGATAGACCCGGCATCTCTACACGTTATTGATTACGTCGGCATTCTGGTTTAAATTTTCTTTTCGCTCGACAGCCATGTCCGCACAAGACTCCGCCGCGGGCAATGCCCCTCCCTCTGCCGTCACCGATGCCGTGTTGGTGGCCTCGGAGCCCGTGCCTGAGGGGACGCAGCAGGTCAGCGGCGTCGATTTTGACCGATTTCAAGGCCGGGATATTACGGTCGCCGAGATGGTGGACAACATGAAATACACCGGGTTCCAGGGCAGTGCGGTCGCTGAAGCCGCCCGCATCGTCAACGAGATGGTTCGCATCCTGTCTTCTCCCTGGCCATTGAGTGACCTAGCAGCGTAGCTAATTCCGTGATACGTCTACATAGCAAGCCTACCGTCATCCGGAGACCGGCGAGAAGACCACCATCTTTCTCGGATACACCTCCAACCTGATCTCCTCCGGCCTTCGAGACACCATCCGCTACCTGGTCCGCAACCGTCACGTCTCCGCCATTGTCACTACAGCCGGCGGTGTCGAGGAAGATCTTATCAAATGCCTGGCTCCCACCTACATGGGCTCGTTTACTGCCCCGGGCGCCGGACTGCGGGCCAAGGGACTGAACCGGATCGGCAACCTCATCGTCCCGAACAGCAACTACTGTGCATTTGAAGACTGGTTGATCCCCATCCTGGATAAGATGCTGGAGGAACAGGAGGCCGCCAAGAAGAAGGCACTGGAGACTGGCGATGAGGAGGACGAATTGCATTGGACCCCCAGCAAGATCATCGAACGCCTCGGCCGCGAAATCAACCACGAAGACTCGGTTTTGTACTGGGCTGCTCGCAACAATATCCCGATCTTCTGTCCCGCCCTCACCGACGGCTCCCTGGGCGATATGCTCTACTTCCACACCTACCGCTCCTCTCCGCAACGGCTGCGGGTCGACATTGTGGACGATGTGCGCCGCATCAACACCATGGCTGTCCGGGCCGCGCGGGCCGGCATGATCATTCTGGGTGGCGGTGTCATCAAACATCACATTGCTAACGCCTGTCTGATGCGCAACGGGGCCGAGCATGCCGTGTACATCAATACGGGGCAGGAGTTTGACGGCAGCGATGCGGGGGCCCGACCGGATGAGGCCGTCAGTTGGGGTAAGATCAAAGCCGACGCCAAGGCCGTCAAGGTCTATGCAGAAGCCACAGTGGTCTTCCCGCTCATTGTTGCGGCCTCGTTTGCCCGAGCCAGTCCGGCGACCCCCAACGGTGAAACGTCTCAGAACTGAGTGTGAATTTGAGGGACATCACACCGATAGGGGTACTCCCTGCTATTTGTTGAACGCCAACCCCCTCTATCTCTCGCAATGCCTCATATCAACCTCGAAAAGATAAAATTGATTACTGGTCCTAGGCCTGCTGTGTCTGTCGACCGTGGGAGCTTCTCCCCTTCACGACAGCTCGGGCCGTTTGGTTGACAGAGGGGCAGCGACAGGGGCGGGCCCCGGCGTGGCAGGCACGCGAAAGGCGCCCCACATCATCCCCTCGAGTTAGGAGGCAAATCGGAGGCTTGGTTCCGATCAAAAAAAGAAAAGAAAAAAGAAGAACAGGACAAAACAAAGCACGCAAGAGGGGCCACCCCCTGGGATGAATTCTGCACGGAGAAGAGCAGCCGCCCGCCCCCCTTGAAGAGCCGTAAATCCGGAACCCACAGGCTTTGGAACCTCGGCGGAGGCAAAGTCTGGAAGGACGAACGATGGTGGATGGCAAATCATGGGGAGGGAGAGGGTTGAGATGGACTTGGATTGCCGGGGGTCGTTCCACCGGTCGATCATTGCGGTCGGCACGGGGTTTTCCTGGCAATAAAGTTTCATCCTTCCGACTTGACTTGCCACCCACTTGTTGGTGGGGATCCATTCAACAAACTTGTCATGGGAAGATAATATTGACATGGAGGGGGTGGTTGATATGGATGTCTGGAGGTATGGTATAGATTAGAATTTGTCTTGTGTTTGGATATAGAGTGATACAAATGATTAATGAGATTACGAGCTCCGAAGAAGGATTGATTGATTGATTGATTGAAGCGACTAATGACAGGTCAGTTCCTGTCTTTCTCTGGGCTGCAGGGATGCGACGCCCCGCGCAGTCGATCCGTCCGGCCAGTCGGTCGAATCGCAGGCCCGTATCATATCATTTTCCTGGCTAGATTGGATTTATCTTCTCCCAATTCTTTTATCCGATGGGACTTTAGGGAGAGGAGGGAGAGAGATACTCAAGGGGGCAGTTGGAACGACGACCACCACTACCACCTGACGGATCCGAAAATGGGACCCGGGTGGCAATGGAGGAAGAAGTTCCAGTTCCAGTTCCAGTTCCATCGGGGGTGGATTGCAGGGGGTCAGTAGAAGGCAAGACTGAAGGGACCAGTTGGGCCAGTCCGCGTCCAGGTTGCGGACCCTCAAGCAGCTGCTGCCAGAGGATTATTGGATGCCAACCAGCGGTGAGGATCCGTGATCTGGTCTGGCTGCATTGCCGCCTCATCCTTTTTCTTTTTCTCCCCCATTTCTATGCTGCTTTCCTTTCTTTTTTTGCCCATCCCATCAATTCTTCTTTTTTTTTTATTTCTCTCAATATTTTTTTTGCTTTTCTTCTTTCGTTTCGAGGAAGTTGTCTTTCTTTCTTCCCCTCTCCATCCTTTTTCTCTTCCTTTCTCATCTCAACTTCTCTCTCTTTCCTTATCTTCACCCTCCCGCCCGATCTATATATATATTATAGACCCCCTTCTATCCACCCTCGCCGATTGTTCCTTGGGTTTACCGCTCTGGGCCTAGGGTTACCCCAGTTTCCCTCACTTAAGTACTAGTTTTTAGTGTTCTACTGGTGCTGATAAGCCCAGTGGCCTATTCTTATCGCCCGACCTTCTAGACTTTCATTGCTTCGTTGGTTAACTAACTAACAAGTTGTTCGTTGGGCTGTCGTGCTTTTGCTTGCTTGTCATTGCTCAGTATTGCTCTTCTGGTGTGATCTGTCTTATTTTTTATTCTCTCTTCTGCCACCTTGGATTCTTGCTTCCCCTCCATCCCCACCCTCCCTTGCTGATTGTGAGGAGTATCTCATCTCTTTCTTTTTCTTCTTCTTCTTCTTTTCCCCTCCAGAGGAGTATCTGAATGTGTGGTCTTGCCTAGATCAGTCTCACTTGCATTCAGAGCCTGGCTGCCAAGGCTAACTCGTGTTGCTCTCTTCTTTTTGCTCTCTCACCTGCGGCTCTGTCAGCCTACCGGTTGGTCGGCTTATTTGCTGCTGCTTGCAACTATCCTCTCCTTTTAATTGAACTGTGACTGTTGTGTTCTCTGCTAAGTTCGTCGTCTTCGTTGTCTGTCTGCTTTCTTTCTTTCTACTCCCACAATGGATGCCTCTCCGGATTCTGGCTCCAATGTGGAGCAGCAGCAGCAGCAACAACAACAACCACCCATCACACTCAGCACTCAAGTCTCCCCTGAGTCGGTCAGGGAAACCACCGTCACCATCGAGGCAGCTACAGATGATTCGGCAGTCCCTGCCACAAACCCCATCACAACAAGCATCCCGTTAGAACCCCCATCATCGGATGCACCCCCAGTCGAGATTCAGGATGAGGCACCTCGAGTTGATATCCCGCCTCCGGTGCAAGCAGACCCCGTTCCGGTGATTCAGCCCCCCCAACCGGAGCTGGAACATGCCTACTGGGCCGATATCGAGGAGGATCTGTCGGTTCCCGATGAGGCAGAGATGAAGGAAATCGAATCGGCGGCGGATGGCGACTACAGCGCCTACGAGTGTAAGCTCACTTGACCACTTCCGGCAGAGCTGGTTAAGAACTATGATAGCTGACAAGATCAGATGACTACTGGGAGAAGAACTTCCACCCCGATCTGGACGACCCCGAATACCTCCCGGCGGAGAAGGCCCGCATGACATGGAAGATCAAGGGCGTGCGAGGCACCCCAGACGCCCCCAACCGCGTCAAGATCATGCGTTCTCCGCCCGCCTACATGGGTGGTTATTGGTGGACCATCAAGTTCTTCCCTCGGGGAAACAACGTCAATTCGCTCAGTATCTACATCGAGTGCTCTCCGACCATGCCCCCGCCCGACAAGAATCTGCCCGAGACCGAGTTCAAAGTGATGCACGGCCCGGCTGATGCAGCCCTGGATGTCAATGCCCCGGACGTCGACATGAAGTTCGCGCAGACCAACGATTCCGCAAGTTGGTTGGAGGCTTTCAAGGCCCAGTACCCCGCTGCTGCCCATCAGGCGGAATCGACTGGCACCAACTCCTGGCGGGTTTCGGCTCAAATCGGCGTCATTCTGTATAACCCCGAGGAGCCGCGGACGGGCTGGATGCAGTCCTCGTGCCATCAGTTCAACCCCCACAACCTGGACTGGGGCTGGACTAACTTCCATGGTCCCTGGGACCAGATCCACCGCCGCCAGCGAGGCCAGCGTCAGGCGCTTCTCCGCAACGATACCCTGGCATTCGATGCGTACATCCGCATTGTCGACGACCCCACCCGCTCACTCTGGTGGCATGCCAGTGACACCGAGCCGACGTGGGACAGCCTGAGTCTCACGGGCTATCGGCCGTTGGGTGACTCCGTCATCAACCACAGTGCCGAGGTGGCTGGGTTGGCTACCTGGGTGCATATGGCGCCTTTCTGCAAGATCATCCAGAAGGCCAATGTCTTGGAGCATCTGACCAGTTGCGACGTCAAGCCGAAGCCGCTCTGTGATGCACTACAGAAATTCCTGTGGCAGTTGCGGTCTCGGGGCCAATCGCTGCAGTATGTGGATACGGACATGATCACCTCAACCTTGCGTAACCTGCACGAATACTCCGGCGATGTGTGCGAATTCTGGGAACGTCTGCGCCGCACGCTCGAAATTGAACTGGCAGGCACAGACGCCGTGCAGGAATTGGCCAGGCTGTTCGACAGCCCGTCAATTGAGTCGCTTCCCAGCGAAGCGCAGACTCAGGATGTGATCAATACTGTCCCGAAGGACTTCAACTCCCGAATCTGTGTGCCGGCTGATCAAGCCAAGACCACCACTGAAGCGTTCAGCTGGTACTTGAGTGCCAAGCCCGGACGCTGGGTACTTCCGCCGGTGCTTCACTTGGAGTTGGGTCGTCAGAAGTTGGACAAGGCTGCTCGGCAATGGCGACTGCTCTACAACCGAGTCGATCTGGATGAGGAGCTGGACTTGACGCCATGGCTGCTGGATGGCCAGGAAGGCAAATACGTCCTTTACGGCTACATCGTTCACCGTGGCCGGCGTACGTCTGGCAAATTCTTCAGCATCTTGCGACCGGGTGGTCCTGGAACCAGATGGCTCGCTTTCGATGATGGCAGTGATAATCGTGTCGAATGCCTGACTCGGAAGACTGCATTGGGCCCTCACCTCGGCCTGGACGCCTCCCAGAAGGTGGACCACAAGACTGGTCATGATGTAGCCATTGCTGTGATGTACATTTGCAGTGATGTCGTCCAGGAGTTCTTGCCTGGCCCGCAAGGTCCATGGGACGTGCCCGCGAGTCTGAAAGAGTACTATGAAACGGGCATCCCTCCGGTGCAATTGGATGACAAGTGCGACAAGGACGAGATCAACGTTGAGGTCTACTCGCTGCCCAAGTACGATCAATTAGGCAGCTTGTTCGATACGTATGACTTGATGTCACAGGCGAAGTTGGAAAACGGTGTCATGTATCTGACTGTGCCCCGCTCGTCCAACTATGTTGATCTCCGAAAGAAGATTGCCATGTGGGCATCTGCCAAGTCTAGCGAGAGCACTTGTGCGGAGCATGTCCGGCTGTGGCAGATTGGTCACACTCGTGACCAGTTCGGGCCTACCCTTGCGTTTGCTCGGATCTCCGACCTAACAAGTACCTTGGACTTTCCGTTGAAGACCGTCCGTTTCTGGATGCAGGTCGTCTCTGATGGTATGTACCTTTATCCTTCACGTATTATACACGATGCTAATCCTCAGCAGAGAACGCCAAGTTTTTCGCCATAGCGGATCCACCACAGGCGATTTCGATCCAGGCCAAGCCTGAGGAAGCTGTTGTTGAACGCGCCGGCTCAGAATCCTCTGAAGATAGATTGCCTCTTCCCGAAGGTGAAGCTGCCCGCGCGAGCTCATCGGGAACTGTACCGGAGAACAGCATCAATACAACTGGGGGTGCGACAATCACCAATGCTGTGAATGTTTCACACATCGAAATTGTCCCTCAGGATCCGGTGCCTACGGACTTGAGCGGCACGGGTGCGCCTACTACTGGAGACTCCGAGAATGATGCAGTGATTGCTGCCATTATCGCGGAAGATCTCCAGCAGATGGATACCGACCGAGTCCCTGATACAGCTCCCCCGGCCACGCAGGAGCCCAGTCAGACGGTACCAGCTGAGCCTGAGGCTCAAGCTAGCACAGCTGCGGACATTCCTGCTCCGTCAATCGAGCCGGAGGTCGCCCAGCCAGTAGACCACGTGTACTACTTCATCCAAAGGTTCGATGTGGAAGCGCAGGCCTTGCGCACAGTGGGATCCTTCTTCTCAAAGAAGGAAGAGAATATCAAGAATGCCGTCCGGAGGCATCTCAAGATCCCGCCAATGAAGGATTTCCAGATCTGGCAACGTGTGGATGGAACCACCGTGACTACCATGGCTTCGGGCGAGACATTTGAGGTTTATGTTCCCGATGGTACCTGCTTTATTGTGGGTGACAAGTTGAACAAGGACAGGTAAGCGCAATTCACATTTGTGTCATTACATCCAGACTAACCCTACCTCTATAGACGATTGCAGCTCAACGTGGCCGGTCTCTTCGGCAATCCCGATCAGCTAGTCCGCTATCTGTGGGCTGATTCTCGCCACCACCCCACGCGTGCCTTCACTGGCTTCAAGACCATTGATGCATCGTTCACGAACGACTACTACAGTGGGGAGTTCAATAAGGGTCACTTCCACGGCAAGGGCAAGCACATCTCTGACCTTGCCGCAACCTACGTCGGAGATTTTGTGCTAGGCAAGCGCCATGGAACCGGCTTTATGGAGTATCCGACCGGTGACACGTACGACGGTGACTGGTTCGACGGCAT